TCTCTTCGCGCGTTAGGGGCTGGAGCTTTAGGCGCTGGGTTCTAGGCTTTGCAGAGCCCAGAGTTCAGGAATGCAGGACACAATTCAGCGATGGAGGGTTGAGCTTGAGGCTCATGCGGCATAAGTAAGATGACACTGGCCTAATTCCTAATGTATAATGAAGCCGTACTTACAATCCCCTTAACAGTCCAAAGGACCTAAGAATCATGTACTTGGGTTACGGATAGTAGTTTTGTAGGCTAGGCATTTGGGCCCTTGGAGATCGAGCAGATTCCCGGCAGGCTCAGTCAGCAGACTTCACGCAGCATATTCTTTAGAAGGGGCCCCCACCCTGTTAGAAGTGGTATAATAGGAATATAATAGGGCCCTAATATAATCCTTAACTATTACAGGGTGGGGGCAGCTTCTGACATATTCCAGTGAAGGCAGGCCGAGGTCGGCATCACACGAATGGTGGTACCCTAAGGCCCCAAAGTAGTTCCTTTTTGGGGTTCATATATAGAATCCTATAAGGTGATCCCAAAAAGGAACTACTTTGGGGCCTATGGGTAATGACAGACAATGTGATGGCCACAGTTACAATCCCATTAGTACTAGTAGTAGTACTAGTAAAAGCAGTAAATATTATCATTATAGTAGTAGTAGTAGTAGTAGTAGTAGTAGTAGTAGTAGTAGTAGTAGTAGTAGTAGTAGTAGTAGTAGTAGTAGTAGTAGTAGTAGTAGTAGTAGTAGTAGTAGTAATAATAGTAGTAGTAGTAGTAGTAGTAGTAGTAGTAGTAGTAGTAGTAGTAGTAGTAGTGGTGGTAGTAGTAGTAGTAGTTGTTGTAGTTGTTGTAGTTGTACGTACGCGTCATTTCACAGCAGGGTGGCGGAGGAGGAGGAAACAGCTGTACAGATCCAGTCTAATGAGTAGAATGAGAGGAACCAGGACGATTGATGCTTGCAAGTCATATGTCTCACGAGTGCACGGAACCAAAGGCGCCCGCAAAGCGCAGAGCACGCTCGCGCAGCGTTTAATTGAACAAAAATTGTTGTAGTTGTAGTTGTAGTAGTTGTTGTTGTACTAGTAGTCCTAGTAGTACTCGTAGTGATACGATGATAGCAGTACTAGCAAAAGTACAAAGTAGTACTAGTACTAAGTACAAGTAGTACAAGTAGTACTAGTAGTACTTGTAGTACTGGTAGTACTAGTACTAGTGCTGTAGTACTAGTGCTAGCACTGGTACAAGTAACTAGTACGTGTACTAGTACTTGTACGAGTGCCCGTACATGACTAGAGTAGTAGTTACTAGCACTTGTACCAGTACGAGTACAAGCATTCGATACTACTTGGAGGGTCGGGGGACTTAGTAACTGGTGATTTCATGAACTTGTAGGTATCGGTCTACTTCCAACCTACTTACTAAATCCCCCGACCCTCCAAGTAGTAACTGGTAATGACGAGCTTTTGATGTCATAGTTGCAAGGTCCTGCTGAGGCCCTTCCTTGGACTCCCTGAGCACGGGAACGTCTGTGACGCGGCCTGCATGCAAGGGATAGCTTGGGGGGGCGGCAGAACCCAAACTTCAAAGGATCCAAGTAACCATATAGTACATATGTCAAGGTATTATATAAGTACCTACTATATAATGATACTTGGACCCTTTGGGTCTGGCGCAGACCTAGAAAGTGTTGTGGCTGAGCTTGAAACTGCTCCACAAACAGCGCTCGCACAGGCGACCTCTGCGACAACAGCAGCAGCAGCAGCCGCAAAATAGAATCAAAGAGCCAATAAACATCAAAAGAACCACCATGACCGCTACCACCACCAGCGCCACCGCCACCACCGACACCGGCACTGGCACTGGCAGCGGCACCCACCGCCACCCAACTGCCAGCGCAACAGCTTTTTCACCGCCACCGCCACCGCCACCGCAGCGCCACCACCACCGCCACCACCACCGCCACCACCACCGCCACCACCACCACCGCCGCCACCACCACCACCACGACCACCACCAGCGCCGCCAACATATTACGTATCATGAGGACGACGACGAGGATAACGACAGCAACACAACCACCTGCAACAGAAACAAGGGCAACACCAACAACAGAAACAAAATTCAACAACACGGTCCAGAGCAGACACTACCATGACTACAATTGCAACCACCTACCACCGCCTCGGCCACAACCAGAAAGCGTACATGCAAAGCCACGACCACCACCACCACCACCACCACCACCACCACCACCACCACCACCACTGCTTCACCCCACTGGCACCCTAAACCCTAGACACCCCGAACCCTAAACTCCGAACCCTGAACCCTCAACCTGAAAGCCTGAACCCTAAGCTCCGCGAACCCGAAACCCTCAACCCTAAGCTCCGAACCCTAAACCCTCAACCTTAAAACCTGCACCCTAAATCCTGAACTCTTAACCCTGAAACCTGGCCTGACCCTAAGCAGCTGCCACTGCAAATCAACTCGCAAAGTCGTGTCCTCGGTGATTTTGGTCTCAGACTATAGGGCACGGTTGTAACGGTTTAGGGCTTTTGTTAAGGGCTTTGGGGTTCAGGGTTTTGGGGGGGTTCAGGGCTTCAAGCAGGGTTAGCCTCGGGGTTCATTGATGGGGTGGCGGATAGCGGTTAGGGTTTAGGGTCTGTAGTGTTTAGGGTTTAGGGCCTGTAGGGTCTAGTTAGGGCTTTTAGCCTATAGGGTTTATATGTGCCAGCATCCGCGCACCCCCCCCCCCCCCCCCCCCCCCCCCCCCTCCCCCCCCCATGGTAATCCCCCTCCCCCCCCCTGTGGTTCCTGTGGTTCCCCCCCCCCCTGTGGTTCCTCTTGGTTTTCCCCCTCCCTTTTGTGGTTCTTCTGGTTCCTGTCTCCCCCCTCCCCCCCTGTGGTTCCTGTGGTTCCTCCGCGTGGTTGCTGCTGCTTTGTTGTTGCTGCTGTTCTTCTTCTTGTTCTTGTTCTTGTTCTTGTTGTGTGGTCGCCCGGGTCGGGGGGGGGGGGATACCATGGGGGGGGGGGGGGGGGGTCGAGAACGCGGAGCGCGGGCACATATACGGGTTTAGCGTCTAGGGTTTAGGGCCTTAGGGCCTATAGGGTTTCCGGGCCCAGTACAGGATTTGTGGAATAGCATGCGCCAGCTATACATTACAAAGTCTGGGAGAGCAGTTCGCGGCGTCGAGTGCCCCCTTATATATATATATATATATAATCTGCCAAGGTCAGGAGAACTTGCGAACACTCCTGCAAGTCTTCAGCAGCAAGGGTCTAAGACAAAACCAGGCTTACGACATTTGGGTCTGGGGCTTTGTGGGTCCGAGCTTGCGGTATGCAGTCAATGCCCCGCCTGGCCTCTGCCGGTGTTGCCAAAACAGGCTCTGAACTGACAGAAAGGCTGAGAGGCAAGCTTGCCAACGGCTGCATCACCTACACCGGCCAGAGTTGAACGGGGGGGGCCTTGAACTCAGTCTTCCTGGCCGATATAATAAAAAGAAGGTGGGGGGTATTTAGGGCCACCTCAAGGAAAGACGTTCAACGGGGTTCCTGTCAGCTCGCTTCAGGAGATTGGTAGAAATGTCTCAAGCAGGGTTCGTCATACGGAGGAACTTATTATTGCTCAATCGGTTCGGATCTGTAATAGAGGCACCCACTTCTGAAATGCGCAATAATGCAAAGAAAAAGATCCGAGACATTGGCATTGCAGACATGCGGCTATAGTAGACTTAGTTTTTTGGGGGTTTCTGTTTAGGCCTTTAGGGCGCACGGCGGTGGGAAACAGTTTGGTTGGTCTTGAGTTTCAGGATGAGCGACGGCAGAGAAGCTGTGCAACTTAAACTTATGCGCAAGTCGCCCGGTTGGGGTTAGGGTTTAGCATTCAAGGGTTTACGATCTGATATCTTGCAATAGGCGCGCCTTTTCAGTAGACCATTTGTCTGACGAATATCAGCAGAGACTGAGGGGCTACATTGAAACAGCCCCTCGACTTACAATTAAGGTAACTATACTTATAATCACTTATGACCCCTCTTAAGGTACTTATAACCATACTTACTAAGTCCCATGATCCTCCCATTAAAGACGCCCCGGAGATTAGGGGATTAGGGTTTCGGGCGTAGTAGTCGAGCATGACGAAATGGAAGGACAGCTACCAAGACGCAGAAGTCTCGTGGGTCACACCAAACAAACACATGCACACCACGACAGAAACCCAAAGGGTGCGATGTATTGTTATGGGAGATACTTCCCTAAGGCATAATAGTAATTCCGAATAGGGAAACCCTACATTCTACTATATCGGTACATTGGACCCTTTGGGTAATAGAGAGGCCTTAACGACGAAACCAAAGCTTTGGGGGAACCTTCAACAGAGCATTACCTCAGGGTCCATGTACCCAAATAGTCTATACTTTGGCCCCAAAGTACCTATATAGGGACTAATTACTTTAATGCCAAAATATACTATATGGGTACGTGGACGCTTAGGGATTACTAACCTCATTCTCAGAGACTCCAATATCCCTTAACTATGAATATACATTAAATCTTATATAAGATAAGGTATATTCCTTAGTTAAGGGATAATTGAGCCTCTGGGTTGTCTTAAGGACTCTTAGGCCTCTCCTCTCACCCCGCCCGAAGCCTGCGACGAGGATCCTCACAGTGTTGAGATCCTCCTGGCCCAGGATCGTTTGTAGGGTTCATGGTTTATAGTCTAAGGTTTAGGATTAAGGGTTTGGGGTACTACTTGTAGGGTTCAGGATTGCAGATTTTGTTATAGAAGTTACGGGTCTCATGAGGTTCTAGTGGTTTAGGTGCAGGGCAGCCGGAGCTGATAAGGTCGCGGCATTTCTGGAGTTTATAGGCAAAGTAGGGTGTAGGGTTTGGCATTTATAGGGTTTCTGGGGCCGACGAGCATCGATACCTTAAGCATCAACAATGACATTTAGTGGCTGCTGATGCCTGCCTTCAAGTCCACTCCTCACACAAACTTTTGTCGACTGCCACATGAAAGAGGACGCGGAAAAAACTAGGAACACCTCGAAAGTGTGCCTTAGATCCATCTGCACCTTTCGAATTCTGTTCGGTCAGGAAACATGGTGGTGGCCCTTTCATCAATTCACGTTGGGACCACTTCGCATCTCTAACTTCGCCTCGGGAAATAAAAATAATTCAGCACCTATCCTAGCCTTCGCCTCTTTGAGCCCGGAGGGTCCAAAACACGTGCAACAAGCTTTTGCCTGGGCCATGAGCCCTCCGGGCCCTCCCGAGAGGTTAACAACGATGGTTACAAAACCCAGAGGCCCCAAAGTAGTTCCTTTTTGGGATTAGCTTTAAATATTCTATATATGGGCAAAAAGGAACTACTATGGGGCCTATGGGTATTCACCACCAAAACCACCACCACCCACCACCACCAGCACCGCTAAGTCGAGATAACATGATTGATCCTGGATTCCATCCACTCGCCCGTCGGCCTAGATGCAAGCCCAAAGCCCTGAATCCTGTATGAAGACTATAATGTACTTAATTAATGATTAGAACAGGGTTTTGGGGGTTCCTTGTTGTAACTATATAGTATAGTATACCACCCAAAACCCTATTCTAATTGTTAGGGCCCCATATTAAGCCCTCAACTCCGAAGCTCTAGACCTTGATCCGAACCCCTAAGCCCGAAACAATGAATTCGAGACCTCACCCTAAAACTGCAGCAAGAATCGAAGCGCCTGCGTTTCGAAGGAGCGCATTCTCTGCATGTCGACAGGTGCGAACACATCGTGGTATTGTGCCGAGGGGTTTAGATCTTAAGGCTTTAAGGGGGTGGTTTAAGGTTCCAAGCCAACAATGTTGCATGTAGATTTTGGTGGAGCTTAGGATGTATTGTAGGGTGCGTGGTTGGGGATTGAGGGCATAGGATGTGCATCTCGGGCGTGCGATGTTTGGCAACTAGGACCTGTAGGATTAGCAGCTTCTCGGTCCTGTTCGAACCCTGCTGTGCCTTCTGCCAGGAACACGGTATCTGGCTGGTGAGGCGACTTGCTAGGACAGGAGTGCTTTACGCTACCAAGGCATCTATCATGACTGTGGCGTCCGGAGGGGCCGTTGGCAGGGCAACGTCGTGACCACAATCACGTCGAGAGCCCTCACAATCGAAACCGTGAGCGCTCGCTGACTCTGCTGCTGCTGCTCCTACAAGTGCTGCCGCCAGTACGACCACGACTGAAAGCACAGCCACCTGAAACGACGTGATCATTCGAATCATGCTACAAGAACGATAAGGAGAAACAAAGGTAGCAACGGCCATTGCGAGCATTCAGCCGGTGTCAGAGCCATCACCACCTGGCCAGTTTCATCATAGAAGTCGCCCCCATCCCGGTCTCAAGCCACAGCAAGCAACTTTGTAGCCATTGTCAGATCGATCTGAATGTAAGCTTACTGTTGTTACTCATCATCCCCAAGACCCCCAGATGCCTGGCTCATGGGTGGGGGTCTCAGGTTCAAGATCAAGCTGCGCAGTAACATGCTGAATCTACAGCGGAAGCCGAATAACACCGAGCCGAGCCGAAACCTTCAACCTTGATTCCCGACCCACCTAATTCGCTACTTCGATTCATTTTTCCATAGCACAAGATACACACTGTTAGTACCTGGCCGCAGCCTCGCACAGCCAGGTGTTCGCCCCACGGCATGCGAATTCTTAACTAAGGCTCTTCATTTCTCGCGCCGATACTACATCGACTGCCGTTGCTGATATTGCTTTCACAATTAAGTTGCTGTTGTTGATGTCCTCTTGTGATATTTAAGCCACTAACAGAGCAAGAGACTTGTGGGTACGAGCTGGTCGCACCGGGTAGCAGTGTGACCACCGCCGCTGCTACTGCCACTGCTGCTTCCCTGCCCTTACCCCACCCCTACCCCCACCCCTACACCCCCCCACCATCCCCACCACCCCCACCCCGACCCCTACCCACCCCCTGCCCCTACGCCTACACCTACCACCACCGCCACCAGCTCCACCACCAGCACCACCACCAGCACCACCGCCGCCACCGCCACCGCGACCGCGACCCCGCCAATCCACGACCACGACCACCACCATTGCCACTACGACCATCACTGCGACTGCGACTGCGATTGCGACGACGACGACGAAGACTACGACTACGACTAATACTACTACTACTACTACTACTACTACTACTACTACTACTACTACTACTACTGCTACTACTACTACTACTAAACCTACTGCTGCTACTACTGCTACTACTGCTACTTCGACTACTACGACGACGACTACTACTACTGCTACTGCTACTGCTACTGCGACTGCTACAGCGATGACGACGACCGCTACTACCACGACGGCTACTACGACAGCTGCTGCTACTACCCCCATAAGGCCACTTCTTCTGTTGTAGCTACACTGCTGTTGTAGATATGTCTGCCGCTTCTGATCAGCAACGTAGGGCTTCCCCACCTGGCCGACTGGTTTCACTGTCCGAACTCCGACCAAAACTTGCGAGATTTAGGGTTTGGGGTTTAGGGTTTAGGATTGAACTCAACACGACTGAGGTGCAACACACCTTGTAAAATTTCAGGAAATCAATGCCGCGAGACACCCTGGGAGACCCTTCCCAAAGGGTCCAAGTATCATTGTGGTCTATACTTATAGGGCATTTTGGGGGTCGAGGTATATACCATATATATATATATACCATAATGAAGGGTTTCGGATCGAGCACCCGTGAAGGTGTATAGCCAAGCCCCACGTGCCAAGGAGCACATCAGAGCCATAGGCATCCACGCAAACTCACCTTGCTGGCACCGCCGAGCAAGGCGTAAGCGTGCTGCGGCCCGATCGCGGATCCGGCTCGCCCGCTCCAGGTGTCTGGAGCCCTCCCTGGCAGATCTCAGATATCTGGCCAAGCACCACAGCAGCCCAGTCTACAAAGAGTTGCGAGTACGTATGGGCAAGCGTGGAGGATGGGATTCAACCTCCAGAAAGGACCACGACTATGGCTACGACTCTGCCTACTGGTCGCAGCCTGGAGCATCCCAGGGCCGTGGCGATTGGACACATGGCAAAGGAGCAGGGAAGAAGCAGGGCAAGGAGCACAAACCCGAGAGAGCCCAGCCGTCCCAACCAGCTTTCCCGTCCTACGAGGCGATGGCTGTGAAGGGAGGAAAGCAGGGCAAGGGCGGTGCCAAGACCGGTGGCAAGGCCCAGCCGGACCAAGAGCCCATCCTGGAAGGTGCGACGGGCGAGTTGGCCCGATACGTACAGAAGCTGCTGAACACACTACGAAGGTCAGACAGCAAGCTCAGACGTTGCGAGATGGAGAAGGACGAGGCACAGGCCAAGTGGGAGACCTATCAAAAGAACCTCAAACAGTCCTTCATCCAGGAGCGGCAGAAGTTCCACGAGCGCCTCGACAAGGTCAAGACCGAACAAGCGGAGCACATGAAGCTCAAGGATGGTGCGCTCCAAGAGCTCCAGGAGATGGTGGCCAATCCTGGACAACTGAGGCGACCCAGGGAGGAGCCGGCGGTCGATGTGGAGGCAGATGCGGAGTGGGACGAGCTCATGGCAGAGCCAGCCGATCCATGGGCAGCTCTCCCCGAACTGTTGGCAGGGGCAGCAGTTGGTGGACGGGAGCTCCAAGCGGCAGCCAGACAGCAGCTCCCAAGCCCCACCAGCCACCACCGATCTCCCCCCCAGCTACCGAGAAGTCTGCCCTACCCAGTGGCCATGGAGACAATGGAGCCGCCACGTACAGTGGAGGCGAGACACCAGCTGGGCAAGATCCATACCAAACCTCGCCGTCGACAACCGGAGCGCCAATGCCGACGATCAGATCTCGCTCCCGATCGCACACCAGTGGCCCGAGAGTGTCGGTGAAAGCTCACACCAATGGGCCGGTCAAGACGGGCAAGCACGCATCCCTCACGGACAAACTGGAGGAAAAGCGTGCAAATGCCCTGGCAGAGCAAAGCATGATGAGAGTCAACCTGGTGGAGGACGACGACGAGGACGACCCCATTATGGAGCCCCGGGACAATGGAGTCGAGGAGGAGGAGTAGTCCTCCTGGACAAGGAGCCCCCTGGCATGTGCGGCTTTTTCGGCATGTCCGCATCTATAAGCCAGGGTTACCGACAGCATTTTGCTGTTGGGAGCTCCAACAGTTTTGGTGATCGATGGTGCTGTTTGGGAATGGCACCAAGAGGGCGGACGATGACTACGTCTGGACAAACCCGGCACGGCCCTACGGGAGGCCACGACCGATGGCAACATGATGTACGGGACATCATGGAGGTGATAAAGTTTGTGACGGAGAATTTCCTGCTCTACCTCCTCCAAGGGGCCATTGAGGCCCAGGAACAGGCGGCAGGACTTGGGTTGACGATCATGGCTGTCAGCACCCTTGCTATGGCTGCCTTCCTAGGACCAAGATCTGGGAACAAACGGCGGCATGGACGAATTTCAGCCAGAATTTGTCTGGCTATCGGACTTGTATGGCAGATCAAACCGGTAGCTGCCGGACCAAGTCTGAAGCTCCGAGGGAACGGTCCTGTTGGCCTTGGACCCAGAAGCGACATAGACTTTTGGATGGCCGGACAACGCCCGCCAAGTGAACAGCTTGCGGCAGCCATGGCCAGATGCATACAAGAACTGCCCCTTGAACACAACTGGGCAGAAGCACATGACCCCCGCTATGAGGTGCCGGCTGAGCCACCGGAGTTTGATGCCAATGTTGTCGACATCGCTACGGTTCATGCCACCGCATGGATAGCAGCCCCGTACTACGAAGCGGAGACCATCGACTTCCACCTCCGCATACCCACGACTTTGGCCCAGCTTCAGGAGGCGGTGCAGCAAACTAGCAATCGGGACAAAGATTATGAAATGGAGTTTGCCCCGACCATCCCACAACTTGGCGAGGGCTATGTGAGCTACGTTGCCTACCCCAAGTGGCTCAAAGACACAGAGCGTGTGACATTACTCATTGATGCCACGGACATTGGGGGCGGGACTTTCGCGGCCTATGTCCCGAACCCAACGACGAGGGAAAGAGTCTTGATGCACTTGGTGGAAGGATGGCCGGCTGGGCTTCGGGCCTTCCTTGGGGGCCATGACCGCCCCATGCGAACCGGACACGAGTATCATGTGCTACCTGGCACCCTCATAAAAATCATGAGGCCACATGCGGCGCCCAGATGGAAAGATGAGGTGGCCAACCGTCTTCAAGACCCACGGCGTTGGAGCCCAGAGGCGGTACTACCGGGACCCCTGGATGGGCTCCACATGGTCTACCAAGCGGCGGATGATCAGGTGTTGGAGGAGATTGCATCTGACGACGAGAGACCCTTAGAAGTGTCGGCGGAAGAAGCCCTGCGCTACGAGCACGGGGACGTGTGGGTAAAAGTGCCCAATGAGCGCCTCCTGGACTTAGCACATATGGGGCGTAGAGTTTGGGGCCAGGTTGCTGTCTTGGATGGGTGGGAGCAACACGGACACAATGCCCCGGTGATCTTCGCTGACATCCGGGGGCTGGCCTTGTTTCCACAGTGGCTACAGCTAGAGGGCACAGTCTTCAAGCCTGTTGACTTCTATGAAACTCTGGACCTGCCGCCACTACCGGGATGGACCTTGCTTGTGCAGGGAGGAAACCCCAGAGACGATGGCGAAAATATTGATGTGGCTGACGGGGAAGTGCTACACTTGTTTTTGGCCAAGGATGACTCGGCGGAGAATGCAGAGTCAGAGGAATCCTCTGGTGGCGATGGAGGGGACGCTGGCGACGGAGGAGATGATGGGTCTGACTCGAGCAGCACCTTTGATGCGATGCCCGACTCCGAAGACCTCACGACGCCCAGCCCCCATGACCATAATGGACCGCCAAGAGGCCCACCCCGGCCTAGACCGGTCAATGCCCCACCGGACCGAAGCCGCTCGCCCAGAAGACATGGGGACCATGAGTCTGACGAGGCGTGTACTACTGTTTCTGATGCACCCTGTCTTCTACGTCTCCATGACCATATTGACGGCCCCAACTATGACCTCACACGGATCAGCCTCCCACTGCCACATCGAGTTGATGATATCTGGCCGCTATTCTGTCCATGGTCCGGTGAATGGCTACAGTGGAACCTCGAGGGCATCGACATGAATGCTGAGGCCGAGACGGCAGTACGGCAGGCCTGCCCTTGGCAACAGCTCTTGATGGATGAGAGCCATGAAGCTCCGCAGATCCATATTTACACGGATGGATCTGCAAATGAAAAGGAAGGAATCAGTGGTTACTCGGCTGTTATCTTGCTCAAGCTCGGAACAGCCTTTGCCATCTTCGGACTCCTCGGTGGCCAATTGTTGGGCAAACCGGCCTCGCAGTGGCCCCTTGCAGGCCCGGCGGCCCTTACCGCGGAGCAAGTGGCTGTAGCGGCAGCCCTACTTTGGGCTCTACAAGCACGGGCCCTACTACCACGGATTGACTGTCTTCTACATGTGGACTGCCTTGCTGCAGGCAGGGCGGCGGATGGAAGCTGGTCTCCGGTTGATGCCCTCTCCGTGCAGGTGCACAATCTTGAACTAGCCCTACGCGAGCTGGAGGGGGTTACGGTCCAGATCGCGCATGTGAAGGGCCACTCTGGAGATGGATGGAATGAGCTCGCGGATGCTGTTGCAAAAAGTGCCTCAAGAGGTCAGCGCTCCTTTGCTGAACCACCGGAAGCTACATGCAGAGCACTCCTCGACACCAATCTAGATTGGCTCGGTTTTGAGATGGCGGCCAGAAAGAATGGGGGAGCTCAAGTCTATGACGGCAATCTGTGTTGGTCGGAAATGCCAAGACAGCCCCCCCTTCTACGGCCTGAACAGCTCATCCCTACAGAGATGACACAGCAATCTGCTGCCCCCGACCACAGTAGCGCTTTCTACCTCAAGGCCTGTACTTTCAACGTTCAAGGCCTGGGCGGCAACTTCCGCTACATGGAGGAACAGTTTGAAAGCGCGGAGTACAATGTGGTGATGATGCAGGAGACTAAGACGGGAGGTGGACAGTGCCAAAGCCAGCGATACTACCGCTTGGCATCGGACGCACAGCGTCATTGGGGCACAGCCATATGGCTCAGCAAGACCAAAGGCATCATGGAGCTTAATGGTCATGCAGTCCACCCGGAGGAGGCCAACACCGCTGTGGTCTGTGCTACGCCCAGGCTCTTGGTGGTTGTGAGCAAGATTGGACAAGCCAAGATTGGGATTGTGGCAGCCCACTGTCCACATGCCACGAAGCCGAAGGAGCGCAGCGACTTCCTGGAGCTCCTGACTCGGCACTTGGCTAGCCTCAAGAAGGTCCAGCTGCTCTTGATGGGAGTTGACCTCAATGGCAGACTCCCGCTGAACTACCCCAACGTGAGCGGAGACCTGGAATTCCAGGACCCGGATGCCCAGGGGGAACAGGCTGCCCAGATCTTCCAGGATTGTGGAGTCTGGGCACCGTCCACATACGCAAGTATCCACGTGGGGGAGTCGGCCACCCATGTCCACCACACAGGCCTTGAGAGCCGTATTGACTACCTGCTCTTGGGTGGTACTGCCCATGTCTCCAGGGCTCGGAGCTATGTTGACCAAGAGATCGACAACGGCAGTCCGAACGATGATCATCGAGCTGTTGCGGTTGAACTCCAAGGAGAACTGTGTGTTGGACACCTACGCGGGCGCCTCAAACGCCCTCGCTATGACCTCGACAAGATGAACACGGCGGAGGGGAGGAGACTAATGAGCCAGGCCTGCCGTGCATTCCAACAGCCAGCGTGGGAGGTCCACCCGGATGAACACTGCCACAGAGTAGAAGTGCACTTGAAGCAGACCCTGGAGACCTACTTCCCCAAACCGGAACAGCCCGGAAGAGCCTCCTACATCCCGAGCGAGGTATGGGCGATCAGGAGACGAAAGGGCCAACTACGGTGGCGAACCAGGCATCGACGCGGACTGTGGAGTGGTATGCTTCGAGCCGCTGTACATGCTTGGAAGGAGAACAACCCGACCCCCTTCGTTGCCCGTCTCAAAAAGCAGGCCCTCCTCTACGACCTTGTGGCCGGGGCGGTCCGCATTGCCACGGACAAGATCCGTAAGATGATTGCTGCGGCGAAGGACCAATTTCTGCGCGGACTGGCAGCTACGGGGCCCACCGATGTGGCGTCCATCCTACAGCGGGCTAAGAAGGCGGGATTGGGCAGCAAGGCCCGCCAAATGGTTGGAAGGTCCCTGCCGAAGCTCATGAATCCTAGGACTGGGGCGGAAACCACATGCGTGGCTGAACGTGACACGGTATGGCTCCAATTCTTTGGCGAGCAGGAAGTTGGGCACATCCTGCCAACAACCCGGTTCATCCGGGAGGCCCAGGCCAGTGGAGATGAAGTCCGAGATGATTGGCAGTGGAAACATCTCCCGAGCACTGTCGAGATTGAGGAGGTGCTGCGAACGACTGCCCGCAACAAATGCGCAGGTTTGGATGGAGTTCCGAGCGATGCCCTGAGATGTAGCCCGAGCGACTTTGCCAGGATGATACAACCCCTGTTTGTGAAAGCCCTCTTAGGAGGGCGACAACCGCTGCAGTGGCGAGGAGGAGTTTTGTTCGAGGCATACAAGGGTGCTGGAGCCCAATGCGACGTTTCCAGCCATCGAAGCTTGTATATCTCAAGCTTCATTGGCAAATCCCTGCACCGTGTGATGCGGGGTAAGGTGCGGGATCAACTTGATGCTTTCTTGCATCCATTACATTGTGGAAGCCGACAAGGCATGCCTGTTCTCTTCCCCTCCCTGTTTGTTATTGAGCACCTGCGCCGGTGCCTCCAACAAGGCCTGAGCACGGCAGTGATCTATGTGGACACCAAAGCTGCCTACTACAGGTTGGTGCGACAGCTAGCTACAGGCGATTTGGAGATTGATGCCAATGTCGAACGACTTTTTCATCGATTTGGCCTGGACGGCGAGGATATGACCGAGCTCCGGGACCTCATCCTTGACGGGGGCATGCTGCAAATGGCGGAGATCGACGGGCCGATCCGGGCGGCTGTCCGCGATTTCCATCGCGACTCCTGGTTTACCTCCCGCTTCACGGATGGGAGCGCTATTTGTCGCTCTACAGCGGGATCAAGACCGGGAGCATCATGGGCTGACACGGTGTTCGCTGTGATATATGCCCGAATACTCTACAGAGTCCACGAGTGCATGGAAGGCGAGCAGATAAATTTTTCATTGCCGTGGAACCAGGAGCAGGGGATCTTCACTGATCAGCCGGGTGATCAATGGCAATCGGCCTTTGACACCACTTGGGCTGACGACAGTGCCTATGCCCTGCAGGCGGACACACCGGGTGAACTCCTGAGCCGCGCCAGCCGGGTCGGATCACTGATCCTATCTGCCTTTCGCTCCCATGGGCTCGACCCCAACCTCAAAAGACACAAGACCAGTGCTATGATAAAGGTCAGAGGCCCTGGGGCCAAGAAGGCAAGGCGTGAATACTTTGGCTCTGGCAAGCCTGAGTTGGTCCTTCCGGACCTGGGCGAAGGCATCCCGGTCGTCCCGTCCTACAAGCACTTGGGATGTGTTCTCGACATTGAAGCCCGGCTCCATCTCGAGGCCCGCCACCGCACTGCTTTGGCAGCGGCGGCGTATGAGAAGGCCAAGGACCTGCTGCTTCAGAACAGAGACCTGTCTTTGAGTACCAGAGCACTGCTCTTCCAGGCAGCCGTGGTCCCTTCCTACTACAACCTTGAGGTATGGATAGCGGAGGGGAAGCATTGGGAGCAGCTTTGCGATGCCTTCTCACGGCTGGTCCGACGACTACTTTGCCGCGACATCCCTGGGGAAGATTTATTCCGAGTTCCCCTCCCACTAGCTCACTGGGCGACGGATTGTTGGCCATTGGGGATGTTTGCACGGCGCAGTCGATTGTCTGCCATTGTTTCGCTTGCTAAGAAGGGCCCACCTGTCCTCTGGGCCATGCTGCAAAACGAAACAGACTGGTGTGCACAGGCCCGACGTGACCTGCTCTGGCTCACGCAGGGAGAAGAAGACCAATGGCCGCGAGTTGAGGCGGCGGCGTGGCCGCAGTGGTGGCACCTACTACGGTCCCGACCGGAAATGGTCAAGCGACGCGTGCGTAAGGCCAATGAGCGGGACTTCCAGTACTACAAGCGACGAGCTGCGAGTGATGTGTGCCAGTGGTACATGTATCGTCAGCTTCCCCCAGAGACTTGTGCGGAGGAGCCGCTGCAGCCCTGGACATGCGGCATCTGCGACAAAAGCTTTGGGAAGAAATCGGCGCTCAGTGTCCACTTCTTCGGGGTACACGGCCGCAAAGCTGAGTACAGGTTCTTCTTGCAAGGAACTACATGCAAGAGCTGTGGGAAAAACTTCCACACCCCGGGGCGGCTGGAGGATCACCTCCGGGCTACTCGAAAGTGTGTGCGAGTACTACAGCGAGTGCAGAAACCTCTGGCACAGGCACCCCCAGGCTACGGTAGCCGTGGGAGGAGGAAAACCGAGGCAGACCAGTATACGCCAGCCCCGCCGACGATGAGCGTTGTGGACAGCCATGACGGCAGAGAGTCGGAGGGGCGACAGTGGAATACCTGGCAGTGCCAACTGCACGAGAGGCTCTGCGATACTCTTCTTGAGGACTTCGTGGTGGAAGAGATCGAGGAGCAAATCGAGCAACAGCTGAGGCGCTACCCCCTCTTCTACGACGAGATCTGTGAAGTTACGCAGCACTTGCGTGAGGAGATCGAGATGATCCATGCGGATCACGAGTTACAGCAATGGAGCAAGGAACAGTTTACTGCAATGCAGGCTGGGCTGCTCCACTACGAGCAGAATGGCTTTGGCAGAACTTCGAGGACTCAGCGAGAGACCCAACGCCTTTCCTCAAGGGCAACGTTCTGTGCCGCAGTAGCGAGTTTCGACTGGATGTCGGCATACTTGCGACTACGGGGTGACAACGGGACCCAGAAATTGCCGCTGTACAGCTTGTCTGATAGTTGGGAAACTGCGTGGCATCAGACATGCAGCGGCGAGATCAGCGCAGTCGTGGTCAAAGACCCCTTGCTTTTGCTCCCGCAGGAGCTGAAGGCCGTCTGGAATGCCCTCATGAAAGGTGAGTGGCCAAGACTGAAGGCCCCAAAGAGCTTCTGGGAGAACCCCCTGGCAGCACCGTTTCTGCCATTTAGGGAGGACGACGCATGTTAATTAGGCAGCGGACACCACTGAATGCATTCAAATGCAAAAAATACCATAATGATACCTGGACCCTTTGGGCTTATGTTCAGAGCTCAGCGCCGGAGCAGTGTACAAAACAGCAGATCTTGCATCAGAAATTTCGATTTGAAGGACCCCAGCCGGAGCTCCTTCTGATCACGGTTTAGGGTTTAGGGGTTTAGGGGTTTAGGGGTTTAGGGGTTTAGGGGTTTAGGGGTTTAGGGTTTAGGGGTTTAGGGGTTTAGGGTTTAGGGGTTTAGGGGTTTAGGGTTTAGGGTTTAGGGTTTAGGGTTTAGGGTTTATTTCGCGGAGTTCCCTACGAATCCTCGCAAGCTTTGGTCAGAAAATGTGCTGGTCATTGCACTGCGGTTGCACTTGGATGCACTGAGGGGCTGGGCTGCAGGAGGCACTCTGACCGCTACTTTTGCTACCAGTATTATTTTTATCAGTATTAGTACTTGTATTGTTATCATTACTATATTACTACCATTAGTACTGTTCGCAGGGCCTGGAACCCCCAACCTCTGGAGGTCACCGAAGTGCTGGAATACGGTTGATGATATGAATCCTGCACTATCCATAACAAAGAATATCCCATAATTCCCACAGTTTAGGGTCTTTAAGGTAATTAATGGCAGGACTTATATCATCAAAACCCTGAACCCTAAACCCCCTATAGATCCCTTAAAGCAACCCCTTAAAGGTACCCCTATGGATCCCTTTAAAGGAACCCCAGGATTTATATCGTCAACCCTAAACCCTAAAACCCAATAGATCCCTTAAAGGAACCCTTACAGATCCCTTTAAAGAAACCCTACTTGGAGGATCATGGGACTTAGCAAGTATGGTTATAAGTACCTTAATTGGGGTTATAAGTAGTTATAAGTATAGTTACCTTAATTATGACCCTAGTTACTAAGTCCCATGATCCTTTAAGTAGGGATTTATATCATCAACAGGACCAGCTCTCCCGTGCCCTGAAGTCATGTGACCGGGGCAAAGCTGTTTAGGGTTTCGGGGTTTAGGGTTTAGGGTTTTAGGGTTTAGGGGTTTTGAGGTTTAGGGTTTAGGGGTTTTGAGGTTTAGTGGTTTAGGGTTTAGGGCTGCCCTACTTTTGAATCGGTGCTGATTCTTGCAAAATTGTCTTGCGGCTACACCAGCAGCTGCGGCAGGAACAACAACTATACCTATAGTCTCCATTGTCGTTCCTTTTTTGGTTTAACCAACTCATATATTAAGGGTCCTAAAAGCTAACCCCAAAAAGGAACTACAATGGAGACTATAGGTAAGGTTCAACCGGACACCGAGTCCCCGTTGTCTTTACCGTCGCCCCTCCCGGATCAACAGCCAGGCCGTCCAACGTGTTTTGGGATGTTCTGCTTCTATAAAATAAAAGCCAGAAAGTTGGAATATGGTTATCCTAAACCCTTTATGGTAAACTAGAAGGTATCCTACCCTGAAACCATATTCCAACTTTCTGGAGTTCCCTATATTTTACCGCACGTATACCACTATGGGCTATTAGACCCTAAAGATCCCTATTAGGGCCCTATTAAGGGTAGATTAAGGTACCCATAAGGTCTAATAGCCCATAGTGGTAACGAGTGTTTGTCTGAGGCCTGAAGAAGTGCAACTGCAGCTTTGCGGTTCAGGGTTTAGGGTTTAGGGTTTTAGGGAAAATCCATCCACCATGTTCTTGTGGCAAGGTGCATGAGTTCAGAATAGCCCAAGCTTGAAAGTCAGCGGGCCAAGATGAGTCTTAAGAGACAAGGATTCCCAAGACTTGCAAGTATACTAAGCAGATCTCGAACTTAGCTCGGGCTGTTCCCAGCGGCGTCTGGATATGGCCACGGCACTCCGTCTCTCGTGTGGGACGTAGGGTTATGGGATATGAGCCCTAGCCCAGATGCAAAAGGTTCGAACCCACCTACTTGTTACACCCCAACTACACGTCAGCCGATGTTTTGCGACAAGCCCTAAGGGTCCAAGTACCTTACCATCATACACTCTCCAAAATCCTAACCTACATAACTACTATCCCAAAACCGAGTAATTACCTCATGATTGGGTCCTTTGGACCCTTCCGGAAGGAGGTCGAAATCACTATAGTAGCAGCCAGAAAGTTGGAATATCATTATCGTAACCCCTTTAAGGTAAGTTATAGGGGATCCTACCATTAATCCATATTCCAACTTTCTGGAGTTCCCTTTATGAGCAGGGCGGCGGGGACCAAATGGGCTGGCAGGAAAGAGACATGGCGGACAGGTATCGGAGGCCTCAAAAGGTGGGATGAAGGTAGGTGGGATATTCCCAAATAAGAGTCCTTATATAAGGGATCCTTAATCCTACCTACCTTCATCCCACCTTTTGAAGCCTCCGAAGGTAGAGAGTCTAGGCCCATGCACCTGAGCCATCTACTTTCGGCGTCGATGGGATGCATAGGGCACCAGCAACAGAAATGTCATCATATATATGTAGTCACTAAGCAAAACCGAATGAATAGTGCAAGAATTCTATGGAACACTCTTCCGAATATTCAGCCGCTATATCAATCCCTATTGATCCTATAAGCGCCTCATCTACAGTTGACCACCAAGAATGGTTTCTCTGATTGCTCGGGCACTTATATTATAGTACCCGTGACATCCTAGAGTCTTGACAGCAAACTTGTTTACATCCCTGTAAATCATAATGCACTTGTTGTGACAATTTTTGAACCCTTAGAGCAAACCTTTCAGAGCCCCGTACATCTTAGTGCACGTTATGTAACCCTTTTAGAACCCTTCAAAGAACCCTCAAAACCCTCAAACCCTAAACCTCTTAACCCTAAACCCTAAACCTCAAACCCTAAACCCTGACCCTAAACCGTTAAAGCGTTCAGGGAGGAGTCCCAAACTCAGAGTGGAGGCCGAGGACTACCTTTGGCAGGTCCCCGGGAGGTTAAAATCAACGGCAGCTCTGGCCCTGCCCTGCAGGGGCCTCCGCAAATAGTGGCGTTATGCTTAAACCCTAAATCCTTGACCCCACCTATATAGGCTCCATTGTAGTTCCTTTTTTGGTTAATGAAAAACTATACCATAGGATCCAAACCATAAAACTGGTTAACCAAAAAAGGAACTACAATTGAGACTATAGGCAGAACCCGAAATCAAAACTCGCAAGTTCTCACCGACCAGGTTCAGGGCAGTCCCAGGGGGAAAATTGAGCCCCTGCATCTCATGGGGCACCCCGCAGCATCTGTAGTCCACAACAAGTTTGGGAGTCATAGGTTTCATTCATACATTAAGGTTTCCGATTGTCATGCAGAAAACCCTAAACCCTAAACGTACTCTTGAATACTTACTTGAAGGTTCATGGGCAGTTATCAGTCGGGTTATATGTAGGGTAACTATACTTATAACTCATAAAACTCATATTAGGGGACTGATAACCCCACTTGTAACTACCCATGAACCTCCAAGTAGTGCTCTCTGACTCTCTGAACACTCAACCTGGTCGGGCCGGTTGCTTGAAGGTGGGGGCTTGGGATGCTCCACATCAGCGGCATCTTTCAGATCCTGCTTTAAGGGACCCGGCATCACAGGAAGATGGTTTTCCCCTCACGAGGACAGCGACGGTAAGGGCGGGCCTCTAGACTGTAACCCTATGCCTCCAGGGACCTTATTATGGGGTCCTTAAGGGGTCTAGGGCCCTAACTATGAGGTCCTTGGAGGGATAGGGGTAAGGCTTTCAGTCTTCACGCTTTAGCCTCAGCGTCGCAAGGTGGGGAAAGCCGGTCGAATTCGTGGGATTGTCAGGGCACCAGCGGCCCTGAAGAGGGTTCAGGGAGTAGGAGGGGATTGGGGTCTACGTTTCGGGGCTGAGTCAACCCTATAAAACCCTAAGTCCTAAAAGCCTAAACCCTAGACCCTTACTAAACCCCTAGCGGCCCTAGCCTCTAATCCCTAAATCCTAAAACCTAAACCCTATAAATCCTAAATCCTATAGTAACCCTTATGGGAACCCTTATAGAAAAACCTTACCTTATAGACCCCTTTTAAAGCAACCCCGAAACTCCTAAAACCCAAGAAGCTCCTCACATCGGCAGCCAAAGCCTTCTCTGCTTCGCGGAGATGGCAAGTCTGGCAGAGGGCGGGTTTGGGGCTTAGGGTTTATGGAGAAGGGCTTAGGGTTTAGGGTTTGGGGTTTAGGGCTTACAGTTTAGGGTTTAGGGTTTAGGGTTTAGGGCTTACAGTTTAGGGTTTAGGGTCTAGGGTTTAGGGTGTAGGGTTTAGGGTTGAGGGGGTGTAGGGGCTCCGTTAAGGGGACTTTTTTTTATGTTAAAGCAATAACGGTTTGGGGCTCCCTTATAGGAAGGGTTTAGGCTTTAGGCCGGCTTTAGGGCTCCCTTAAAGGAAGGGTTTAGGGCTCCCTTAGAGGAGCGGTTTTAAGGTTTAGGGTTTAGGGCGCCCTCAAAGAAACGGTTTAGGATTTAGGGTTTGGGGGTATAGTGAATCCCAGAAAGTTGCCACATGGATTTGGTATGATTAGTGCTGGGATCCCCTAGACTTTACCTTATAAGGGCATCATGAGGATAACGGTTGTCTAACTTTCTAGCGTCTTTAGGAGACTCTTATACCAGGGTTCTTAGAGGTTCCTTTAAGGATTCCTTTAAGTGCCTTTATCGGGTTATATAGGGTTCCCTTCCGGTGAGCTTTATAATTTATAATGTTCTGTAAAAGGTCCCTTTAAGGGCTCATTTAAGGGGCTTCTATAGGGCACCATAGGGTTCCGTTGAGGGTTCCTTTAACATTTCCCTTACAGAGAGGGAAACCAAGTAGGTTCCCTCAGCGTGCTCGGGAAATCCGGAATCCTACACCTATTATTATTCCTAAACCCTGAATCCCCAAATCGTGAATCCTGTGAGTGCCGGGAAGGCCATAGATTCAGCTTGTTGGGAGTTTGGGGTTTAGGGTTTGGGTTTAGGGGTTTTGGTGCTGGAGGGATATCCACAGGTTCCGCAGGCGAGACCGGGTTCGGGGCCGAGGCGAGCTCTTCAGGCGTCACCTTCAGACCGCGCTTGGCGGCCAACTCCTCCCCATACTTCCTTTGAAACTCCATGAACAAGGCCATCTCCACAGGAGGACTGGGTCAAGCGACGAGGAGACCGGGTCCGAGAGCGGCGCAGACGGTTTCTCGGCCGGGTAGACCTCTTTCTCCTCGGTTCGGAGGTAGTCTGTTTGAAGCCACCTGTCTCTGTAGGCCGTTCGGTCTTGCTTAGGCTTAGGAAGGTGCCAGCACGGCCTGAGAACTTCTGAACAAAGGTAGCTATGGCCGATCGACACCTTGCATCGGCAGCCTCTGCATGTTTCACGGCCTGCATCATGTTCATGCCTTTGCCAAAGCAGGTTGCCAAAAGCATGGCAGGCAACCGCCCGCCCCATCCGAGACCTACAAACGCTGGGCTTTCCGCCACTATGATACTACCTATGGTATCCATTCTAGCTCCCTTTTTGGTTACACAAAAACTATACCATAGGATCCTAACCATAAAACTGGTTAACCAAGAAAAGAACTGCAATGGAGACTATAGGTACATGCTGAACCATCCCACACGCAGTTCAGCCAGAAAACAAGCATAGACGCAGACGCAACCACACAAGTTTGTGAATCACCTTGTGCTGGTCTCAATCAAACGTCTCATCTATGCGCATGCCTGTGGGCTTGAGTGTGCCCACTCCCACGTTACACCCCAAACCCAAAACACCTAAGCCCTACACCCCTAAACCCTATCGTAACCCTCATGGGAACCCTTATGGTAACCCTTATAGACCCCTTTAACGGAACCCCTTATATAACCCTAAACCCCCCCCCCCCCCCACACTTTGTGCTTCATGTCTAGCACTGTTAGCCCTGATGCGACCTGAGGCCAAACCTGCAGAAAACCTGTGATCGGTTTAGGGTTTAGGGTTCACGGTTTTAGGGTTTAGGGGTTAGCTTCCTTAAACAAAAAACTAACCATATCCCTTAGAACCATAATGAACATTATATGTTTAATATTCTCTTGGGTTTTATATGAACAATTTTCAAAAAACAGTTCCTAAAGAGACTATAGCGAATGTACCAACAATTACAGCAACCTTTGTTAAGCTTGTGACTATGATTCTGACTATGGTTATCAACAAAAAATAACTGTATCCTATTTTGGTCGTTTTTCCACTATGGCTACTATGATGAGTAATTTTATCGTTGTTGTCATTATCATGACTATTACCATTACGATTCTAATTCAATTTTTACAGCTCCAGCCGAATTCCCGGGCCTCACGCGGCCCACAGTATCGAGGCCCAGCACTGCAAGGGGTTTCGAGGAATCGAAGCCTCAAAGCTGAGTGAAAGCTTCGCAGGATTCTGTGTTTGACCCTAAACTCAGACACCCTAATCCCACCCTGAACCCTAAACCCTAGTCCCAAACCCTAAACCCTTAAGCCCCAGAACACACTGCTCTGTGCGTAAGGGAAGAGAAGCTCGGGGCTCCCATTTAGCGTTCAGGGGTTTACGCTTTAGGGGTTTTGGGCTTAGGGTGTTTATTGGGGTTTAGGGTTTATAGTGGTTTAGGGTTTAGGGTCTTTTTTGGGGCTTACGGTTTACAGGGGTTTGGGGTTTAGGGTTTTGGGTTTGGGATTTGGAGGTTAGGGTTCAGATCGGTCGTGCAGGTTCAGAACCAAAGGAGGGAGGGGAGAAACGGTAATGCATGTTTTGTTCTTGCTGCAGAATTGCAGGTTTCCGTATTGCAGACCTAGTTCATGCTTGGGATAGTATTGAAAACATGTATATTTCTATTCCTCATATGACTTTTATCCGGTTTAAAAATACCCTACTACGTCCCCTAAACCCTAAGCCAAACCCTAAACCCTGAACCCCAAACCCTAAACCCTAACGCCCAAACCCTAAACCCCAAACCCTCAACCCCAAACCCCAAACCAGGCTCCTTCTTGGCCAACCTGAGCCCAGCACCCAGTCGCTCTAGGATTGGCAAGGTCTCGGCAAGCCAGAAAAGCCTCTGCAAAGGCTCGAGTTTAGGGTTCATTTAAAGGGGTCTGTAAGGGGTTACTATCAGGTTTCCCATAAGGTTAGGGGTTTCAAGGGTTTAGGGTTTGAGGGTTCTGGGTTTTTTCAAGTTTTAGGGATTAGGGGTCTCGGGGTGTTTAAGGGTTTAGGGTCTAAGGGTTTAGGGGTTTAGGATTTAATCCTTAGGATTTCGGTGATTTAGGGGGTGTAGGGTTTAGTATTTAGGATTAAAGGATTTCCTACTTGTCCAGTATCCTAGGGCCTTGGGGAACTCAGAGCTAACCTTTGGCATTCTGTGCAAAGGTTACCTACACTACTAGGATTTCTTCGGTCATTGGATTTAGAATTCAAGGATTCTAGACCTAAGAGTAACCTAGGGATAAAAAGGATGCCCTTTTTGGTTCAAAGGGGCTTATAAGGGAACCTGAACCCCTAAAAAAAGGGAATAGGGGCCTACTCTAGGTCCTAGGATTAGAGTTTAGGGAGGTTTAGGGTCCGGGGCTCAGAGCTGAGAGGCTCCGGGTGTCAGGTCCCCCCTACTGACAGGAGTTTGAGAGATACGGTTTAGGGTTTAGGGTTTAGGGTTTAGGGTTTCTAGAGAGCATCGAACGGCGAGGGAGTTGGATACTGATGAAGGCAACATTATTAACAATTCTTGAAACTGCCGTCTTGATCTCCGTCCCTCTTTATGAACTTATCCCTACACCCTCAACCTTAAACCCTACACCCTGAACCCATGATCGTGCAAGGGACAAGGGGCTGGCTTCAGCTGCAAAGCTGGACGGCCGGAACTTATGACACTTGGAGGATAATACCGACCCTCAGAATCAAGTTTAGGGTTTGGTGTTTTAAAGTTTGGGATTGAGGGTTTTCCCATTCGAAAGGAAAATGCACATAAAGTTTACAGGGTCGTGAAGAACCGACAGTGAATATGAAGAAAACGACGGCAGCACCCGGCCACTGCCCAACCACCGGGTACTGACGGGCTTTTGTGAGCGATAGATGGTACACATCACAAAGCAGGGAGGAAAGCGCAGCAACATGAAACGAACATCAACCTTGTTGATTGTAGCTGTCATCGCATGTCTGAACCAACATGCGCCAAGACCGTATCCCCAAAGGGTCCCAGCACCAATATAGTAACTTATAAAGGTGCTTAGTCGATATTTGAGCCCCAAAAGTATATGCTAATTATGCCATTACTTGGACCCTTTGGGTACGTGACTTCGGCAGTGCTCTGCAATGCCTGGAGCTGCAAAGGCGCTCCCCCTGGAGCACACCGCTCACGCGGCCTGGTGGTGCCACTTTGCGCTTTGGGGTTCTGGGCTCGAGGGGTTCAGGGTGAGATTGTTACGTTGGTGGGGCGGAGGCGGGGTGCGGGATACTGACCACTGCCACTGCTACAACAACAACAATAACAACTGCTACTACAATGGAGGAACAGTAGTACTCCTACTACTACTACTACTACTACTACTACTACTACTGCTACTACTACTACTACTACTACTACTACTACTACTACTACCACTAATGTACAACTCCCACTGCTGCTGCTACTGCTGCTGCTGCCCCAGCACTGCGGAGACGACGAAAGCTTCGATTAGTCGGTGGTGGTGAAGGTGATGCTACAAGAATCTCCAAGCCAGCTTGAAATGTGCAGCCTGCAAAGTGGTGTGCTCCAGCTGTGCTGGCAATTCAGAACCATCTGACTGTTGGTTGACGTTCGGATGTCCTTCGGATTCCCACAATCAGCTACAATCAGCTAGCAGTGAAAATTCGATTACAACAGGCTCTGCAGTCCTGCAGAATAAGCCAAGGTCGGCCAAGCCCGTCCAAACCGCACAGCCCATAGGTGCATTTGTCTGTCCGTACATACATAAGCCCTCCGAAATACCCACGAGGAGAGTGAAGACAGGACGCATCAAAACTTCTTGCGCCGAACCCCGATGCCTCAAGCCAAGCACCCCAAACCCTGACCCTGAGCGGAAGGGCCTGGCAACTCCACACCGAGGTCTGCCTCGTACGGTATGTAACTGATCGTTAAGGAATGCCGACGACTGCCGGATTTTGTAGTACAGTAGGATTAGGGCTGAGAACTGCGCGTCCGAATCTTCGTGCTTGTCTGCGGCACAGGATGGTTCGAGCAGCTAAAGAAGGGGGCTCAACCCACGCTATTGCTTTGACTCGACAGCTACCTCGACAAACAATCAACCACAAAATGACAAAGAATAAACAAGTCAATTAGTATTGTGTTCTAGTTTTCGCCGTCGTAGCTGAAATTGTCTTCACTGTCGCTGTCGTTGCGGCTGCGCTTGTAGTTGCTGCTTTAGTAGTGGCAGTGGCCGTAGCAGTGGTAGCGGCCGTGGCGGTGGTCGTGGTCGTGTTCGTAGTGGTGGCGGCGGTCGTGGTAGCGGTAGTGTGGTAGTGCGGCAGCGTGGTAGTGGTCGTGGCTGTGGTAGGGGTCGTGGTCGTCGTCGTCGTAGTCGTCTAGCAGCTGTAGTCATAGTAGTAGTCGTAAGAATAGTACTGGTAGTAGTGGTGGCGGTACTAGTAGTAGTAGATAAGAAGTATAGTAATAGTAGTAGTAGTAGTAGTAGTAGAAGTAGTAGTAGTAGTAGTAGTAGTAGTAGTAGTAGTAGTAGTAGTAGTAGTAGTAGTAGTAGTAGTAGTAGTAGTAGTAGTAGTAGTAGTAGTAGTAGTAGTAGTAGTAGTAGTAGTAGTTTAGTAGTAGTAGTAGTAGTAGTAGTAGTAGTAGTAGTAGTAGTAGTAGTAGTAGTAGTAGTAGTAGTAGTAGTAGTAGTAGTAGTACTAGTGTAGTAGTAGTAGTAGTAGTAGTAGTAGTAGTAGTAGTAGTAGTAGTAGTAGTAGTAGTAGTAGTAGTAGTATTATAGTAGTAGTAGTAGTAGTAGTAGTAGTAGTAGTAGTAGTAGTAGTAGTAGTAGTAGTAGTAGTAGTAGTAGTAGTAGTACTAGTAGTAGTACTAGTAGTAGTAGTAGTAGTAGTAGTAGCAGCACCACCACCACCACCACCAGCAGTAAGACTTGGCCGTACGCTCTGCAGCTGCTCTGTGTGGTGCAATCAACGTGTAGATGTTAACCAATACATATAAATGTGTAGTGCAAGCACACGGCCAGATCGCCACGTGACTACCCAACACTGACTTCTTCAAACGAGCTTAATGACTCGGCTTATAAAAAAGCTAAGTATACTTTTTGTATTACTTATAACCTTAATCAAGGTATTTGTAGGCAAAAGATAACTATACTTGTTATATTACGCATAACCTTATAGCTAACTACGTACTTGTAGGTATAAGGCAAAGATTACGTGGCATCGCCGTTTCTGGCCTCGTGAACTTCGACTGGTCGGCCATCCTGAGGCGGCTTAGGCAGTTGGGCGATGTACTGTGTGATTTCTGAACGATATTCAGCCCTTGGAGAGTATAACTATGTATGTTTGTATGTGTATGTATGTACTGTGTTTGTACATTATGTATATATATATATATACACGCACATGTATTGGTTAATTTGCGGCTGCTAGAGGTGTGCCTGTGCCTTCTTTGCAAGGGGAAGTCATGTTCTAGAGAGCATCCGGACTAGGGTTTCGAGGAGCTTTGCACCGTTAGTCATTCTCGGGAGTCCCCTTTATCGCGATTAAATGTTGGGAAAACCTTCTGTTAGAAGGACTTGCGTTCGCCACTATTTTTGGTTTAAGTTGAGTAATGATTCTCTGACCGCTTATTACATAGTTCTCAAACTGTGTGATCTTGCAGTCTGCCGCATAGTTCCATCTCGCAGCGCTCGCCTCGGCTGACCCTCCGTGTTCAAATTGACTGCACCCTGGAGGCTACACAAAGACTCCAACATCCCTTGAGTAAGGAATATACCTTAAACTATAGCAGGACCCCTGATATGATTTAAGGTATATTCCTTAATTAAGGGATATTGGAGTCTCTGGGTACCTCTGAACGTAGACCTGGCGGCTTCGCGACAGAGATATAGAAACCATCTTTGAGCGTAAGCCTTACGGTAGCGGTGAAGAGATATGGCAAGACGACGGCATCGTAAAGGATATTGTCGCCGAAACTCCAGACTAAGACGATGTGCGGGAGAAACGGCACCATGAATGATTAAGACCAGGGCCCGAAGCTTCAATAAAAACAAAACTGCCAAGGACTCAAAAATCAAAACTTGAAACCATGCAAGGCCGAGGTCTTGGCTGAATCAAGCCATTCGCCCGCCCGTCGAATGCACGGATCACCCCCGCCGAATATCTGTACCTCCAAGCATGGGTTTCGGGGAAAATGTGTTTAAGGTTTAGGATGATCGATCAGATTTATATCGTCACGACGAACAAACTTGAACAAACCCCAGCACCCCTTGGACGGGTCCTTGCAGGTCCAAACCCGAAGAACCTGCAACCGACCCCTGTAATTAATGCCATAAGACCCTGAATAAAGCCTTACGAAACACTGCAAAGCCAATCTATGACCCTATGAGAGCCTTGTCAACACCTTGAACAACACGCCTATGCAGCCCTGAAAAACGGAGCGCTGTATTCCCAAACTCCCAAAGCGTAAACCGTAATTTAGCGAAACCCTTAACCCCAAACACTTGACGGCGGAACGCCTCAGAAGGGCCAAGCAAGCAAAGGGGATTTGTCAAACAAACTTAGGGCTCCGAACGATTCCTGCTAGAACATTGAGTCCTGAACCCTAAAAAAACAAACCCCGAACCCCCTCGTAAGCCCTCATGAAACCTTGGCCTCTGAGTGCTACTACTACTACTACTACTACTACTACTACTACTACTACTAGTACTACTACTACTACTACTACTACTACTACTACTACTACTACTACTACTACTACTACTACTACTACTACTACTATTGCTACTACTACTACTACTACTACTACTACTACTACTACTACTACTACTACTACTACTACTGATACTACTACCGCTACTGCTACTGCTACTGCTACTATCACCACCACTACAATACTATTCTTCCTCCTCCTCCTCCTCCTCCTCCTGCTCCTCCTCCTCCTTCTACTACTGCAGACCAATAGGAGAGGCCAACCATGAGGCCAATCATAGCAATACCTAGACCCTAGACCCTAGGCACAGACTAAGGACTTGAGACAACCCGGGGCTCAGGGCTTCGGGTTTAGTTGTCATGGGGATATAATTTCAAGTGTTGATGTAGATACCCGATTCGAAACTCTCTCTCTCTGCAGGCAGCCACTAGCCCAAAATGGGTATTGTTCGCAGACTTCAGGGTCTAGGGTTTGGGTTTGGAGTAGAGGGTGCTGCGTACTTATTTGGAGTTCTTGTAGAGCTATCAAGCCTAAACACCCCTAAAGCCAATCTGCATCCCACATAACCCCTGGAACAGTAGTCTGACATAAGTTAATAAACCTCATTCTAGTTCATGGCTGGGATAGGGGTAAGCATGCACATTTTCATTGCTTATTGGGTTTAAGTACCCCTTAAAATGTAAAATGTTAGCCAATTATGACAAAGTAGTCTGATGCCAACGGCCCCTAGGTAACCCCGGAGGCGCCTGCTGCGCCGCGATCCAGTTGCAGGCCGAATAGGTCTGCCCGAGGTCCTTCACACATAGGTTTTTTTTTGTTTAAGTGCAATGGGGCCTTGTTCTGCATGAGGTCCTACCGGTTTCCATAGGGTTTAGGACTCATGGGGCGTTTGTACCTAAACCTCCCAGAGTCGGCAAAATAATGGCCCAATATCCGTAAAAGGCTTCTACATACTTTGGGGGTCCAGGTAGAGATTTTTTCAGGAGTACGTACGGTTGCTTTTGGATAAACCAGGCTTAGGCTCACCCTGAGAGCTGCAAGTACGAACAAGTAGTACTACTTGTGGAGCTCAGAATCTTCTCATGCCTACTTTGGGCTGCTTTCAAGGGCACGGTGCTACTTAGCTGTTGAGGTTCTTTGTCTGCTTGCGACACTCATGTCGGGTTCACCGCGGATCACGAGGCTGCCTTGTATGACGTCCAAAGAACGGAAGAGGTTGCGGCTTAGGTTTGTATGCAACCCTGTATCGACCCCTACTTCTCAGCAAACCCAAATTACAAAAACGAAAGTTCGATTCCCCAAAACTTAAACCCAAAATCCTGAAACCCTTTGAAAGCAGAATTCGAAAAAGAGGTCCCTCAACCCTGAGCGTTCTCGCACAGGTCTTCATGTACGATGCACAGGCTGAAAAGGGGGCGTCAAGGCGTTGGGTTTGAGGTTTAGAGGGTTTAGGGCTTAGGATTCATTGTTTACAAGGGGGCTCCAAAGTTACGAAAATCGGGGGCCCTAAAATGGCACACCACATGGTCGGATCCTTGTTTCAAGGACCCCAAAATCAGGTACCCCTAAGTTTTCGGAAACTCCCACTTGAGGCCCTCAAGGCGACTCTCACCACCGAGGCCACCCACCTGAAACCGAGAGTGTGTCGCATGATTAACCAGGACCCCCCAATGGCCCTTCAATAGAGCCCTTATGGTCCTTCATAGTGGCTATCTGGGAAGGTAGTTGGGGGTCTAGGAAATGCTGCTCCCTGCATACCAAACAAGTCCTTGCCCAAAGGGTCCACGTATCATTATGGTCTATACTTAAAGGGCATGTTGGGGGTCTAAGTATATACCATAAGGATACTTGGACCCTTTGGGTTGTTGTACAACCTACTCCATGTAAACCCAAGGTCGCTTCATCTCCGGATTGTAACATGTGTTCTTGAACGCTGTAGTTCAGTCTTGTAGGGTCCTACGGTATGGAAACACGGCGCTTGACCCAAAGAACAGACGAATATTTGGTTCGGAACAAAGACTGACACTGCACCCTAGTCCCCCCGTAGTAGACTATGCCCGAAACCCAAATCAAATTCAGAAGGCTAGTATGACCGAAACCCAAAGCCTTAAAACAACTCGTGCCGCGAATCCTATTCTTAAGAAGCCCTTAAGGAACCCTAAACCCTAATCCCTAAACCCTAAACCGCTGAAATTCCGAAGGCTCGAAGCAACATGTCCTCATCTAGTAGACATTTTGGCCCTAAAATGCTTACGTGGGGACTACTTAGTTTGAGGCCATATAGTATGTATAATAAAAGTACATGGACCCCTAAACCCTAACCTTAAAGCCCTGATAGAGCCCGAAAAGGAAGCCTTGAAGGAAGCCTTAAAGGTACATGGGCCCTTTGAAAGTCTCAAGGCAATGGTCGGGTCCACCAGAGCCCGCAGCGGTTCGCTGCGCTGGTCGATTCCGCTGCACACGGTGCCGCGCCTGATGCGCGAACCCCCCAAACCCATAGCCCTAATCCAAACCCTACCTAGACCTGCTAAACCCGACTTTTTGTAGGTTCTTATTATAAACCCTAATAAGGGATTTATAGGGACCCTACAAAAAGGTAGGTTCTGGTAGGTTGAGGTAGACTCTTAGACCGAAAAAACAAGACAAGTCGACTAACAGCGATTTACAAAAGATGCAAAACGTATTTTACTTGTGAAAGCCCCGATATGCAACTGGAGGTAAAACACAAAAAACACATAACGCCCCCCCCCCCCCCCCCCGCCCCCAGGCTAAAACCCTGAAACACTGCCTAGAGTAACCAAAGTACCTTGTACACAAAAGGGGCCAATGTGCCATTTCATAGAATACATTGGTTACCCTAGGTACCTGGACCCCAAAAGTATGCAGAATAATAGCTTGTTATGGGTATTAGGCTATCATTTTACCTACTTTGGGAGGTTTAGGTAGAACCTACTTGAAGGCTCATGGGACTTAGTAAGTAAGGTTATAAGTAGGCTATAATTAGGGTAACCCCACTTAGGGGACTCATAACCCCAATTATAACCTACTTACTAAGTCCCATGATCCTCTAAGTTCCCTAAACTCCCCCTTCTAGAACCCTTATAGACTTATAGATCCCTTAAAAAGGAGCCCTTTAAAGGAACCCTAGGCTTTCTTATTAAGTCCCATGATCCTTTAAGTGATAAGGGCGGCGCAGACGCGCGTCGACCTCAATGAGGCCGCGATCGCCCTTCCTAGGAGTCGGCTGCTTTTTAGAGGGTTTCTTAAAAGGCCCCTTAAAGGGATCTATAGGGTTCCTTAGAGGGATCTATAGTAATCTATAGGGTTCCTTCAAGGGATCTATAGGGTTTAGCTTGGGGTTTAGGGCTTACTTGGAGGATCATGGGACTTAGTAAATAGGGTTTAGGGTTCCTTTTTAGGGTACTATAATAGGGTTCCTCAAAGGGATCTAGAAGGGGTCTATAATGGTAGGATCATGGGACTTAGTATATATGGTCCTAAGTACCTTAAGAGGGGCTATAAGTATAGTTACCTTAATTATAACCGTAGCTACTAAGTCCCATGATCCTCTAAGCAGCTTTTACTAGGACCCCCAATGGCCCTTTGATGGAGCCCTTAGGGCCCTTAATAGTGGGTATTTGGGGTATATTAGAGGGGGGGGGTCTAGGTAGGGTTTAGGCTTTAGGTTTCGGGTTCAGAGGCTTAGGAGAAGAGGCCGTGGAGATTGGAATAAGGCTTCGGGGTATCAGAGGCTTCTGGGGGGTTTGGTGGCTTGGGGTTGCATTCTTGTTCAGGCTTTTGGGTTTCGGGTTTGGGTTTAATTTTTCAGATTTCAGGATTTCGGGCTTGCCAAGAACAACAAGAACCCTGGCTAGGTCTTCTTGGCCTGTGGGTTCCAGGGTGGTTTGGTGTAGGGTTGAGGGCTTCAGGAGTTTGGGGTCTAGGGTAGGAGGCTTTGGTTTGATTGATCGCTTACTGCATTGGGGGGCTGTAATTGAAGGAATCCCATAGGCTATAACGGCTTACCAAAACGTGGGTAATACAAGGACTTGGTATAGGGGCCTGAATTCATAGAAGGGGGTTCTGGGGTCCTTCAGACTATACCTGTGTCAAGGAATTTTAGGGAATGATATTGCTAGATATTCTGGCCCCTACAGCCTACATGAATACCCGAAGCTCGCCTTGGTAATCAGAAATGAACACTCGTCCACCTCCACATCCTCGCTGCAAGCCGTAAGGGTTTATGTACCCGTTTTGCAAACACTGTGGCCCTCAAGGACCAATACTATAGGGAGTGCTTGAAGGCTAAAGTATACCCTGTCCCTCCAAGGACCTCATAGTTAGGCCCCTAGACCCCTTAAGGACCCCATAATAAGCTCCCTGGAGGCTAAAGTATAGCCTATGAATATACACGGACCCTTAGGGAAAGAACGGGGCCCCTGCAGCTCAATTTCCACTGCATCGGGCAGGCCGAAGCCTCCCGGACTTGAGGCTTAGGACTTGGGGACTTACCCAGAGGCCCCATAGTAGTTCCTTTTCGGGATTACCTTAATAGGATTCTATATACGAAGCCCAAAAAGGAACTACTTTGGGGCCTTAGGGTAGGGTTTAGGGTGGGCTTGGGCTTGGTGCAGGAGGCCAAAAACATGAGCAGTAGGCAGGCATCTGAAAGCCCCTGGACGACGGGCTTGATCAAATGCTTAAAGGTCCGGCTTCCTGAGTTCAGTTCTTGCCTGTAAACAAAATAGTAGAAACCATGCTTCCTAAGCGTGGAGCCCTAAGCCCGTCTAAACCCCAAACTTTTTAAACCCACTCGACCAGCGCTTTGACATCTGGTCTCATTCCGATTCTCATTTCCTAAACCCCTAAAACCCCAAACCCACCCGAAACCCGACACCCTGAACCCTAAACCCGCCTGAACCATAAAGACTTGGTGATTGAGGAGAACTGTTCCTGGACCTTCCATTGTAACGAATATTTGTGTGCAAAGGGGTTTTGCTACACTTATGTGTCATATGGGGTTATGTGGTAGGAAGTTGCGTGCGCTTCTTGAAAGCTACGGGCGCTTTCCAGTTTCCAGCACCCATCTCCGAGCAGTTTCATACAATTCCAGGGTGTGATCGGGAATGATTCAGAGCCATCTCGGCTCTGTCGTCGAATCTTGATGACTTTCCCCTCCATATGGTGTCGTGCGCCCACCCCTGCCCTGCACATTTTTTGTCTGTGCAATCTTGCCAGCTCGATAGTCAGCTTGTAGTCCGGACCTGGGCTGGGATGTGGAAGCCGCAGGTACTCTGGTGCTCGTGCTGCTGGCCGAGCTTTGTTTCCAAGGCCCCGGTTTCACATAAGATGCAAGTGCTTGAGCTTTGGACGGTGGTTGCAAATGATACTATGCATGGGATGCATCAGCTGGCTCACTAAAGATGCATGATTCATGGCATTCCACAGACACTGCAACTACATCTAGTGGATATCTTAAGATCGACATGCTAGCTTCCATGGTTGTGTGCTGTTCTTCGTAAGTGAACGGTGTCTCGAGATCCGACCGAAACGTGGCTGCCATGTCGGAGTCTTCTTACTCATCCTGTCCGGTCTTAAAAGCCTGGAGTGAGAGTGAGATCGTGCTGCAACGGCTCATGAAGAAGAACCTCTTGATCTTGAGTGGGGAAGCCTTGAATAGGGCGGTGGTGGTGGAAAACCGTGAATTGCTGGTGCCACTGATAAACCTGGTCGGAGACTGGGCTCATGTCAGTTGCTAGAGCTTTGACATGCTATCATATATTTGGGGGAAGGGTCTTCGGCTGAGGCTTGCGACCGTCCGTTGATCTGGTTTCCGAATATCTTCACCGCCTCTATGCCAACTGCCGTCCTATGAACAAGGCCATCCCGTCCAGTTTCTCGGGATCAGCAGTGAATGCGATTATCCGCCCAAACACGACCCTCAAACCCTTATTGCTATATGTACTCGAAGCCGAGGCACGGAAATCAAGACCCAGGCATGGGCCGTACGCCGGCTCATCAGCATTTTCTCCAGAGCCACCAAGCGACCTCACAGTCCCCGCTGCTCCCGGTTCCGACAAATGATGCTAGACGTTGGTTTGGAAATCAGCCATGGATCCTTAGCTGCAGACCTAGGTGCCTAGATCTTACACAAGCCGATCATCCTACATCATACGTTAAAACCATGTGCTGCAGGGAATGGCCCATCCGATGACGAGTCAACGGAAGCTGATAGTGATGATGAGTCTTCAGAAAGCGAGACGGAGATAGAAGATGACCCCGAGCCTCATCTGCTATAGCATGCGCCGATCGATAGGTGTATAGATCAGAGACTCATATGTGATTGTGATCAAGGTTGTCGCCGAAGCTTCGGTGCCCAAGGGACCTTTGCCGCCTTTCAGCGCGAGTGCTGTTGCTACGGACATTGCCCCAGCGGGCGATGCTGGCTGCTAAGTAGCAATTAATATAGAACCCTAAACTCTACACACATAAACCTTAAACCCCGTGACAAACCCTGATCCCTGCCATGTACGATCCCAAGCTGCTAGGATCGACGGCCGCATCTTCGTCTTCGCCGCCCTCGATCGTGACCCCGCCTCCCAAGAAGGCGCCGGCAGGCTGGTCCGATGTGATATGCATGATGTTTGCCGACGACATGTAGCCGCTGCTTATAACTATAGAATTTCGGAAGGTGGTGATGATGATGAGCCACTGACACCGATGTCATTGGCAAAAGTTCGTGGTGAACACTACACCGTCAAAGATCGTGTCACGGGCTACGCTTGCCTACATTGTGGGCTTGGTGGTGATATCAGGTGGATTCGTGAGCAGCCTTGTAAACCCAGCCCAGCCAAAGACTCTGCTAGCCCAGCCGAGACCCGAGCTACCACTTGGACCCCATCACCGGATGAACTTGCCCAAGCTGAAGCTTTGAGACAGCTCGAAGCCGAGGAATTTGAGCTTACTGAGATGATCAGGCTACAGCAACTCCAAGTGGAAGAGGCCCTGTTGAGTGGGTTGCTGCTGGAACAGCGGGCCTTGGAGCTGGCGCTCCAAGCTTCCAAGCAAACTGTAATCGAATTGCCGAAGACTGAAATCGAACGAAAGCCCAGCAAGGAGGTCCTGGTCACCCCGGAGCGAAACCCCCAGGAAATCCCAGTCACCACATGTGCCGTACCGAAGCGAGGCCCACAGGAGATCCCAGTCACCACATGTGTCACAGCAACACCAACCATCGTGCCAGCAGTGTCCGTTGTTCCTATGGATGTTCGCAATCTTCCTTACGGCAGCCCAGATTGACTTGAGTGGCCGAGGGTTGTTCATGATGGTTTCCTGCATATGTGCTGCTACGTAATATCTAAGGCACTGATGCTATGGACACTTGTCCGATGGATATTGAGCAGATGGTCTACAATTCTCCAGAGCGGCCTAGCACTCTAGGTGATATCGAGCTTCGTCGTGATGCTTCCATGGACATGCTGCTGGCTGCAGGGGAGGAACCAGACACATGTGCAGTACCAGAGATTGCTGTCGTTGCTCCTGCTGCAACAGATGCTTCTGTGAAAGATGTTCAAGCTCCTGCTGCAAAAGATGCTTCTGTGGATGATGTGCTTTGATATTAATATGGGTTTTCACTCCGCCACAAATCATTTATAAGCCACATCCCCGACCTGAACAGTGAACCCTTATAACCTTGCAACCCTCAACCCCCTTACACCCCAAATCCGGCCGAAACATATCTAAGGCATTGCCAGCTTGCCCAGTCAAGCCTGCGACGGCCATGAGCCCCCAAGAGCAGAGTAAGTGCGCCGGTGCCAAGCCGAAGACCACCAAGAAGAAGAAGAAGCCTGCAGCAGATGATGATGAGGAGGAGGCTTCGGCTTCGGGTGACGATGATGCCTGTTCTTCGGGAGGTACGGGTTATCGTGGACGTGGGAGGGGTCGTGGCAGGGGAAGGGCGGGTCGTGGTGCCAAGGGCCGTGGTAAGGGCCGTGGCCACAAATCCTCGTCCCCCAGACCTGCTGCCACGAAGCGCAAAGGTGGGCCAAGCGATGGGGATGAGGCTGCCGGCCCGGAGCAGGACGAGCCATCCAGCCCCCAAACCAAAAAGACCAAGAAAGGGAGCGGTAAGGGTGGTAAGGGAGGGGCCAGTGCAAAGGCGAAGGCCAAAGCCCGAGCCAACCCAAAAGCTGCGGCAAAGGGTTCCCCCACAGCAAAGGCGAAAGGCAAAGCAGCAACAACAGCAAAACGCGAGGAGAGCCCAGTTGAGCCAGGTTCCACAACTGAGGCCGACCGAGCAAGCAAGTGTGGCGAGAAGCGCAAGGTCGAATCCAAGGCAAAGGCGAAGGCAAAGAAGGCACCCAAAGGCAAGGGGGACACCGAAGAGCGATCCGACAAAAAGGCTGAGCAAATGGCCAGGGCCAGCCGCAAGTCGTCAGCGTACCACAAGACCAAAACAGCAGCTTTGAAAGCCGGGAAGACTCCTGAAGAAGCCGCAGAGGAAGCCAAAAAGGTATCAAGGTTTGATTTATGAACAATTTTCGTGCAGCCACTTCGATTCACACGTTCGGTTCGATGCTGTTAACTAGCGCTTTCGATGTGTGCAAGCTATCGATCTTTTCTCTTCTTTGTTCGTGCTTGCAGCTTGTGTACAGTCAGTACATCTAAGGCCTATCGCGAGACGCCGTGATCTGTGAATGCTAGGAGACGGATCTTCGAGAGATCAAGAGCCAGTGCAGTTTTCAGTGGTCGACTTTGCCAGCTTGGTGGCCAGAGGGCCTCGAGTGTTGCTTTTCGGGTCGGTGTGCTATGCAGCTACATGTGTACACACTTATGGGGTGAGCCCTGCTTCTGCTGGGGCATTTAATTCTTTGCTGCGGTGAGAACACCGCTGTTCCGTATGATCTCAAAGGTTGAGTTCTGTCTGTCCGATGTGCATCAGAGAGAAATATTGCACTGGACTGCATCGGGGACGGCATGCAAATCACTGCGTGAGTATACATGCAATATAGTTCAAAGCACCTGTGTGCAGGTTCTGCTGCAATGCCCCGGCCTCCGCATCATGCTGGGCGATTGGAAGGTTGGAGAGTTCGGGCCGATCTTCGAGGCCACACCGCTGATGCCTTTGCTGCACGTGCGAGTGTCGATCGCAGCGACGGTTGCATGTTGCAAGCATATATGGTTCCACCTACATTGCCGATGCTGCTCACAAGCTGGCAGGATTGTTGTAGGTATACTGCTATACAGACATCATGGAGACTGCGAGCATGGATCCATCAATCGTGATAAACCTGATGCAGATCGGTGCCCCGAAGGTCACAATATCTCGCATACAGTGATTTGTGTTACTCGCAAACATGTTCGTGTGCTGCATCGGTCGTGCCAATTGCAAGTTGTATACAGATATCCCACAGCTGAGGTTTTGATTGGGGTCGCCAGGGGCTCTGCTGCAAACCATTAAGCGATGTTATAGGTCACATATCAGCGCCGCTTCTTTAAAGTGATTCGGCCTGACAAGATAAGGTGCTTCTCGTTCGATGGATGGACAACTTGGCTTTCTGTGAACGGTTTCAACTGTTCGATGTGTTCAGTGGAGTCGGGAACATGTCCAAAGTTTGGCTGCTTGACGTACTAATATAATCAGGGTTTATATAGCTTAAGGGTCTAAAAGGGGGAATTCAATTCATATATAGTTATATAGATATGTGGGTCATATAGGCTAAACCCTCTAAACCCTAAACTCTTAGGAGACATCTTTGCAGAAACCATAACATAGATCAGGTTATTCAATAACATCTCTCGTCTCTCACTCTCTCTCTCGTCTCTCTCTCTCTCTCTCTCCCCTCTCCCCTCCCCTTCTCTTTCTTTCGCTCTCTCTGTCTCCGTCTCTCTCTCTCTCTCTCTCTCTCTCTCTCTCTCTCTCTCTCTCTCTCCCTCTCTCCCCCTTTCTTTGTCTCTCTCCGCCTGCCTGGTGTTCGACTAGCTCAGGTATGAAGCTGGATATGCTGTGGCCACATATGACCGAGTTCATGGTGAGTCCATGGACATGACCGGCAATGCTGGTTTTGCGCGACCTAACCCAATTAAGACTGTAATGCAAATACCATATGGCCAAGTCCCCACTCGCTGCTTCGAGCCAGGGTAGCGATCTGGTCCGCCTTGAACATGGTTCCAGAAGGGCTGGCGGTCCTCGGCCCCGATTGCAGTTCTTGGGGGATTACTGCCAGATCCTCCTCCGGAAGAAATTACTTGAACCCGAACGGGTACATGCAGTCGGGGTGGGTGTCGAGCAACAATTGCTTGGTATCAAGGACCCTCGGTTTTTGATTAAATGCAGTTCGGATAGATCGTCAGTATACACTTTATGGGCAACCTGAATGGGCCGAGGATGGTGCTGTTGATCTTGGTTCTACTGGCCAAGTTTTGCACCTTCATTGTCGAGCAGCCTCTACAATCACTCTTGTACAGATCAGCTCGATGGGAATGGCTCGCCAACCGTGTAGCCTATGTGCCTTAACTTGCAGTCTTGTGTCTGCCCAGTTCCACACGTGTTGACCTCTGTACCTTAGATGGCTGAGGTGTACCAGGCAGGTTTCTGGATGCAGCACCATGGAGCGCCGACCCCGAAGAGAACAACCGTGTTTAGCCCCATTGCTGGTATCAAGGCACTTGATCGAGGAAAACTTACAAAGGCCACACGGCGAGCCAATGCTACGAAGACTGTACGCAGCTTCGACAAAACTTCTAGCATGATTTAATCGTATTAAACCCCGAGCCTCAAGCCCCACATCCCGAGTTCCATTCCGAATCTTTAACACCCCAAGCCACAAAGCCTGAACTGCAAACCCCTGTGTCTCGAATCAATCCCTCTATCCCAGGTAGACATATCGACAAACAGGGCAAGGCTTGCTTCACCGGCAAGCAGAAGGAGCTGAAGGAGTCCGGGCTGCTCGCTGGGTTTAAAGTCAGGACCAATTAATGTACTTAATACAAACCCTAAAACCCTAAAACCCGCTCACCCCTCATACCCTAAAACCCTGAAACCCTTAACCCTAAATCCTAGCTTAGCCCAAAAAAGACCCCAGCTTCCAAAACCTCTAGGATGTGATATCATACGGGCAGATTAGACCTTGTCGTTGTCAAAGTAGCCGGTTGCCTGTGTGGGAAGAATCGCAAAAGGAGCCCAGATCAACCTTGCAAATACCCCACAAGCCAACACATGTAGTGGCAAGATTCTATCATAAGAGTCATATAATTTGCACTCGATCATGATGGTGTTAATTATTATACAGTAAGTAGTTAGAATTATAGCTCAAATCATTCCAGATTCCTCAATGTCAGCAGCGACTGCCTTTGCCTGTCAGTGGCTACGTATCTGGGAAGGGTATAGTACTATGGGTGTCGGGTTCAGCATCATGAGCATGATTGCGGTTATCCGTGGACTTGTTGGGTGGGCGGGCCGGGTGGGTGGGCGGGCCGGCAACCATAGCTGATGCTCATGATGTTGGTGCTTTCTTTGGCAAACCGGCAGCTCGCTCGTTTGGCATGACAATTGCATGGTTGGGTGTGTGTGTGTGTGTGTGTGTGTGTGCGTGGGTGGGTAGCAGTGGGTATGGGTGAGTGGGTGGTTGGGTGCTTTGGTTAGGTGGTTGGGTGTTGGGTGGGTGGGCAAGGGGGGTGGTAGGGGTGGGTGGGGTTCAGTGAGGATTGGGGTGGTATAGATCAGGCATTGTTGCAACTCGGTTTGTTGCTCCGAGCCTCGGGGCTGGGGCTTCACATGTTCTACACTTTGAAGTCCTTCCGTCTTGATACATGCAACCATATATATATATATATATATAATGTAGATCTAACATATATATATATATATATATATATATATATATTTGCTCTAGCCTAGGACCTGTCTGGACCACTTACCCTGCCTTAAGAGTTCAGTGTTGCATAAGGTCCCAAGGGGGCTGCTTCGGTTTAGGGATAGGGTCGGTTTCACCCGGTTAAGCTAGGCTAAAGCTCTTGGTTCGGATAAGCAGTCTGGGTTTGTCCGGTTTGGTGCCTCTTAGGATCTACACCCTTGAATTTGCCAAGAGTGTGATGGCTGTCTACGAGAGCAGGTTTAAGGAGCCGGCTTCTTCGAGATGTATTCTTCGAGCCCGCAGACCGGTTGATGCCAAGCAAACCGATAAAGAGCTCTTTGCTAGCATGCCGTTGGGGGATCTCTGGCCTGAGTCTGGCCTCCACGAAGTTCTATTCTATCTCTACGACAACCGACACTGTCTGAGTTTCGGCCACATATATTAATTAATATATATTCAAAGGAGGGTTTGGTTATTCTTGAATTCAAGAATAACCAAACCCTCCTATTGAATATATAACTATAAGCCCAGGATTCCAGACAGCTGGCTCGATGTGATGGACAGCTTTGTGGCAGAGGTCCGGAGGGAAGCTGCCTGATGCAGGAAGGATTTCTGGGGTTGATAGGAGTAGGGTTCCTGAGGGCTCTAAATTAAGCTTTTAGTGGGGTGTTTCGGTTGTCCATGTAATATTAGATCGTCTGTCTAAACCCCAGGCTCTCGGCTCTGACGAGCTGCGACGGGAGCTGATGACTCTGCAAGAGCAAGTGAAGAGATCTTCCGAGCACTAATTAGGAAATCTGCTCGAGTTGGTTTTTGGTGCGAGATTGGGGCAAATTGCAGGGCGCATTTCGGGCGCATATTCGCGCCAACCGGGCGCATATTCGCGCATACGGGCGCATATTTAGAAAGTGTTCGTGGTCATCCTGATAGAAGCCCCAAGATCGAGCAGAAACCCCAATTTGTAGGCCTGTGTGGGCTACTTCCTACAAGGAATGCAAGCCTGTAGCACCGAGACATCCAAAGTTTTCGGAAACAGAGCTATCGGAGGGTCGGAAGCCACAGAGTCCTGGTCTGCATATATACATGTGCTTGCTTTGTTGCACAGCTTATGGTAGGTTGATCGCCGTGGCTTGTGTGTTCCAAGAGGAGAGTGTATGTAGGATGGCCTCTCGGCAGCTATCCTCTCAGACTTTAGTCGCAGGGGTTGCTTTGATTAACACCATGCAGCCTGCTCAACCAGCTACCAACCCTCAAGCCTTGGAGGAAAGGATTGCAGCAGCTCGGCACATGATCGCAACAAATCATATCCCTGCATGTTCCTGCTACCAATCCCTATATAATGCCTGCTCATCCCAGGCGGCCAAGGCTCGGATTGCTGCTTTGCAATCGCAGCTGAACCGCCCAGCCAGCAAGGAGGAGCCGCCTTCGATCCCCGGTGGCTTGTTCTTCCGGGTCTTACGAAGCCTCGCTTGAGGTCCTATATGTATATAGGCCAGAGGGTGCAGGCTTTAGGAGTTGAGAGGGTCTTTCCCTATATAAACATCGCTTAAGCAAATAAGCCTTATAGGGTTATATTTGTACATAGATGACATAGCTTATAGGCCTTATCTGGGGTTTCCTGGGTTTGGGGTTTCTCTTCCTAGGTGCCCCTTACACATCTTTGCAGAGCACTGCCAAAGATGAGTCGATTCCGGGAGATGTTGCCGGCAAGAATGCTGTTGCATTGGGCAGTTTCAAGGCAAGCAGCCAAGATGCACAGCAAGACCCGCTCATGTGGGCAGATTCTCAGGCAACCCTGAGGATGGGAAGCTTTGCAGGTGTTGTGCCCAAGCCTGCTATTGCGACCCCGACCAAGAACCTCATCAGGATGGAGAGCCCTCCTGCTAAGAAGGGCAAAGGCCACGGCACCCCGTCCATCAAGGCCCCCGCGAACCCTGAGCTGGGACTCTTTGAGAAGCTTAAGCACCACTCCCCGAGCAAGTCCGGTAGCAAGAAGCGCCACCGAGAGCAACAAGCCCTCTCTCCGGTTGTGCCTAGGTCCGTTACTAGCAACATTCGTAATTTTTTATGTGTGCACTTACGCATGCATTTATGTTCATGCAGTAGGAAAATATCGGACACTTCAGCTCCCTAGATTCGATTGAGGCTCCTACTGCTGCCACTTCCACTTTGTCGAGTGATGATGCTAGCCCGGAGAAGTCCGGCAAGAAGGCCCGGGCGCAAAGCCCGACCTATTGGCGGCAACTCGGGAGAACGATGCTGTCGATCATGTGATATCATCGAATACTGTGCCCGCATGCACCGAAACCACTTGTTCTCTCTAAGGCTCAGGAGGTATTTTAAGCCCCGCAAATGCGGGAGCTTAAAGTGTTCGAAGGAGGCCCTCGAAATGTACCGAACAGATGATGGCAGTGCCGCGATCTACAATCTATAGAGTATGTGTGCATGCATGAGTTCCATATGGTCATGTTTATTTGAGCTGACTTCTCACAAACCTAGGAGAGAAGCTGAGATCCTTGTTGAAACAGCACGGGGATTTCGGTTCCCTCGAAATTGCTGTTAGCAAGTGGAACAAGCGGTCCCTGGCCCTGAAAAAAGCTGGCGGGTGGTACACCCGCCCATGGTTGATGGCCAATGCCCACTGGACGAAGAGACTCGTCGTGTAAGGATTTCATGTGTACTCAATAGATGCAACGACAAGGTGCTTGAGACCTCCTTCATTTGCGCAAAACTAAGGGCCATGTGTGACCATGGTTTCGCTTGGGCCAAGTCCCGTGGACTGGTACGGCACAGCGAGATTCACGGAGAGGAAGAGGGCCGCTTTGTTTTGAGCGACGACTTTATGTTGTGCGACGAGACTGGCCAAGAAATCAATATGAGCGGAAGCTTCGAAGCCGAGGATTGTCCGGGTGTCATGTATCACGACATTCACGCCCGACTCACGTTGATTCATAACCGGCCGTTAATACCACGATAATGCATTCGTATTGCACACACAAAGTCTTTTACCAAAAACCAATGGTTTTAAGTGTATATGCATTCCACCCGAAGAGCATGTACTATACTATATGGTGTGTATGCATGCATGCATATGTCTATAAGATAGCATATACAGATGTATACATATAGAGTGTATGCTATCTTTCTTTGTGTACATGTATATATGCATACATGTATGCACATGTATTTGTTAAATTAAACTTAAGTACATGCATGGTACATGCAGGTATGCATATCGGTAAGCTTGTGCCTATATGTATGCGGTTTCTCGTCCAGTTTCTCGCCCTGTGAGGTTTGTCATGCATATCCGGGTGAAGCCGTGTATCAGTTTCACGTCCTAAGAATTAGAGGTCCTAAACCCTTCTATCCCGACACCCTGTTTCTGCTAGCCTCAAGCCCTAAATCTGAAAGCCCCGAAAGCCCCAAAATCTTTAACCCGCATGAGTAGTGGAGCCCGACGCCTACAAGCCTGAAGAAGTTCGCTGAAGCCGTCGTCTGATGGGTACTTGTCGTTCACGACATACCTTGGCTGGGGCAGGGGTCACTGATAGATTAGATATGATGGTATTCTCACCAGTAGTATACTGTGGCCTATGGGTTCGAGGTCCTAAACCCCAAGCCGAGTGAAACTTAAACCTTGACAACCCCCTTATCCCGGAATTCTTCAAACCCTTTAAGTCCTATACCTGGGCCCTATCCCCGAGTTCTGTTCGACGCCTTCTGTTAAAGTGACTCAAGTCCCAACAGCTCTAGGAAACCAGAATTGGAAACGATAGTAATAGCTTTTGGAAACGAGGGGACATATAATAAGTACGATTGTGGATCGATATCGATATGTATATATATATATATATATATATTATATTATATTATATATATATATATATATATATACATATCGATATCGATCCACAATCGTAATCTAGGCTATGCCCCGATTCAAGACTTAAATAATTAATATTAAGTGACTTCCCATTTAAATCTCATGTCAGCTAGTATGATCGCAGGATGACAGCGGCTTCTTGCTCGAGGCGACCGTCCCGTCTATGTCTGCCTCCGCCGGCGATCTGATTGGTGCCACTGGTGTCACTGCCACAGACGGTAATGCTACGGTAGCAACGAATGCTAGCACAGCCTCCTTCAAGAATCTAGGTGTCACTATGGTTTCATGTCGTGGGTATAACCCTAAGCCCTAAACCCTGATCTCACAACTAACGATCGTTATCCGAGGATCATCTTCCCGACCCTGTGCCACAATGCCTCTGCGACCTCTATTCTGGCCAGCTTCATCGAGGTATTGGGGAGGAAGGTTGATTCGTGTGAGGACCTGATGGATTCTCGGATCTGGACCCACTCAAGTCTGTATGCTTGGTCACGAATTTCGCATCATGAGCAATATATTCTGATAGTCCCCACTTGTGCATCCCAGGAAACCTTGGAGGGCTTGAAGAACAATCGAGCCACCTCGCTACCAAGCTGCACCACCGACTTTGTTTGTGTGCCCGGCTGAAACAACCCTAGCTTATCTGAGCCTAGAACTTAATGACTTTCGAGGTTGAAGGATCAGCTCTCTGTTCTGCTTGCGACCATGAAGAAGAACTACAAGCTGCTGACAGAGAAGCAGTCGGATTCATTGAACGGTGCTTGTGACAAGTCCCTTTGCCTGAATCGATAGTGTATAGTCTAGGGTATAGTCCTTGGGTTCCCATATCGGTACGTATCCCATACACCCGAGGCCCTAGCCCTGAGCATAAATAAATACACCAATTATATGGTTTTGTTATATGTAACCCATATAGATACCCCAAGGTAATACTGAACCCCAAACCCTAAACGAGGGACTTCAATGATGCATTGCTGCAGCTGTACGCAAACATCACGAAAAACGACGTCGTTATGAACAACTACATCGTGAGAGCAAAGAGCCCTGACCGAATTAGCACCGTATTTGCAGGCAGTGGCAGCAGGCCACGAGTGGCCACGAGCTCTGTGATCTGATCGGTCTACATGAGGTCGATGATGAAGCGCGGCCCCTCCTCCTGTGTTGGGGGAGCGAAGGCCAAGGCCAAGACAAGATCCGCACCTCCTAAGGAGAAGAAGGACAAGAAGGAGAAAAAGGCTAAGAAGGACAAGAAGGCTAAGTAGCTGGTTTCAGACTGGGTCTGAGTAGTCTTTTTGGGCGCCTCGCAGCGACATGCATGCAGATGTGTGCACACACATATAGTCTAGAGATGATCTTGCACTACTAGGGGAGCATGCACCAGTCGTTGCCGTGCACTGCCATGTGCGACTGTGCTCGAAGAGAAGCACTCACGCACTAATGCAATTTCGGGGGATGTCTAGATCTCGAGCATCTTTGGAGTTGTGGAAAAAATTGGAGAGCGCAGCCTATTGATCCATGCAGTCATGCACATGCTCTGACTTTAGTTCGGGCCCCACTGCCTTCTACTGCACACTCCCTCCGCAGGGATGTTGGCTGCTGCGGGGAGAAACCAAGGCCTGCTTCATACTTATACACCCACACACATAGCAGTGTGAATCACATGTGAGAGACAATGCTCCTGCAGGTCGATCCGACAGCGACGAAGACAGCAGCGTCGATGATGACTTGGCTGCTGCTCTTTTTTATGGCTTTGCAGAAGGAGTCACTTACTGGCAATACTGAAGTGTGTACGGGTGTAGGTTTGTCGGGAAGTTGCATAGCTCAAGGCCTTAAGGATCGTTTGGTCTGAGGCTGATTCAGCTAAGCATGTGATCGATCTGGCGACGATTGCCGACAAGAAGCTTCGTCGACATGGTTTCTTGTCAGATCGTTATCATGAATTGCCCAATAAGCCTTAAACCGAAGGTCGCCAAAGCCCTCTCTCAACCAATTTAGCGATCCTGCAAACCCAACCAACTTGATCGGGTGCTCATGACTGTGCAGCAGACTGCTTGCGAGGTGTGGTAGATGTGCAGCTATCAGAGTTGGCAAAGTGTGGGCAGGGTGGTCGCAATCATAGTCGCAACCTGCATCGCCTGATTCACCGGACTGGCCGAACCCTTCCAGTCACTGTTACTACTGTTCCGACCCCTATCAGGATTCTCAAAGGGAAGCCGAAGGTGCACACATGCAACTACCCGACCATGATGTTATCATCCTGGGCAAAGCAACTCTTTTCCACCGGAGGGCAATTCCTACTATCTGGATACACGATTGATGATGTCAAGTATCGTGGACTTTTCAAAGATTTTTGGACCCAGTATCAGCAAGTGGAGCCAGAGCTGGACTTCTACAGCAGGGATTTTGAATGGGAAACCGCGATTCCGTTCAGCTTTCATGGAGATGAAGGCAGAGGAAAACTGAAGCGCCCAATTATGATTGAAGCCTACCAACCACTCATTACACACCGTGGTCCTGAGTTCACAAATTCGAGTGGGATTCTTGTTTTATTTCGGCCCCACAACCGAAAAACCTTTGAGTTGTATAATTATAAGCTATGTAGAATCTTGCCCAAACCCAAACCCCCATCTCTCGCATCCCAGGCACTCCTTCACCACACGTCTGCTGTTTGCCGTGGTGCCGAGCGAGTACTATGCCTCGCGAACACTGGAAGTTTTGCACCGGGCACTTGTCGATGATTGGTTGAAGCTGTACGAGGAGGGCTTGACAGTGTCTTGGGATGTATTATGCAATTCTGAATTGTTACTAGTTCGAGCCAGGGGCTTTGTGGGTCGAGATCCATAGCTAGAGGTGAAGTGGCATGCAAAATCCTACAGATTCCGCTTCGTTCCCGTGGGAATAAAGGGAGACTGGCCATGGCTGCGGGCTGCAGCTCGCCTTTGCACTGGATTCAATTGTGTTCGCAAGTGTCATATCTGCCCGGCTAGAGAAGCTTGGCCAGAATTATCAGACATCCTGATCCCACCGATGTGTTATCAATTTTTTTTCACCTATAGCCTATGACCCCGAACGATAAACCTATACACTATACCGGCCTTAAACCCTATCGATACTGCTTAATAGACAGCCTCGAACTCAAGATTGCTATCTCCAAGGATTGGTACGACATGAGTCAAAGTGGAACTGCCCGTACGTTCCCTCGAAATGGACAGGTTCCATCTTGCTTCAAACCGGACAGAAGATCACCATTCAGGGACCTCCCAAGCGGAGACCGTGCTCGGTTTATCAAAAGCGACCCCGCACACAGCTACGCAATCAATGGCTGGGGCAAGGATTGGATATCCAGTTCGATTCTGGTTCTAGCGCACTTAGGAGTCTTCGGGGACTACAGGAACATTGGGACTAAGCTTCGGGTCGGCTTCGAGTGCTTCAAAGCCTGGTGCACACAACACAAAAAAACAACATCCCTCACGGAATTCAGCCTCAAGGCCTTCAAAATGCAATCGCCCCCTAGCTCAATCATATATGATGTTGCATGCAAGTCAGATCGAGGTGTGTCGGAACCCAGTTGAATCACTGAAGGCTAGCGAACTACCCGCAGGGGTGTGGCAAGGGCCACGACACTGCTGTAATTGGAGCTTGGTTGCTGGATCATATGAACTCCGTCGATGAGTCCACCATTGCAGCTTGCCAAGCTGATTTAAACTTTCTGCTATCGGGCTTAAGGTTTAAGGGGTTTGTAACAGGGCTTATCGTTTCATGGGTTTTAATCATATGCTGGGCCTTGTACATATAAGTTTAGGGCGCGATGATAACTCAGGCAGAATGCTTTCGTGATTTGTTCCGGCTTCTGCATTGGACTGCCAAAGCGGTAAATCTTCACTTCAAAACCATCTACAGCTGTGGCATGTGGATGACTGAGAGCTCTGCTCGTGTCGCAGTGGAAGCTGGTTTCAAGATGATGGATGCTTAGATTAAATATTGCAGCCGTTGCTCGATCGAACCATAAAGCCGATGTATTTTGCCTTCCATCTGAGGAGGGCTATGCGCAGCTGGGTATCATGTGTGCCAGCTACCAGTGGCCGATGTATCGTATGAGACCGAAATGCCATAATCAACTTCACTTGGTGTGGCTAGGATGCGATAGGTATGCATAATTTCAACCCAGGTTTTGTGCCTGCTAGTTGTTATAATTTCCAAAGATTCCAACAAGCCTAGGTTAGACCTCCAACACCAACTCGATAATGGAGCCGGTGCTGTGTTCAACGGCCTCAGCTTCTCGGCATATGATGTTATCATCGGGTATGGCATGTGTGCCTAAGTGCAGCTTCTCAGGTTGGGCGTGCTGGACCGACGAAGATTTCGTTGGGCGTATCGCCCGCATGAGCTGCCGCTGCTATGCCCACACGACACCGATTAGGGTATTCTCGCGTGCATTGATCAAGTATCGCACGATGTTTCTCAAAACTTTCAGATGATCACGACCAAGATTCAGCCAGGGCCGCCAAGTGAAAGAATATCAGCAGCTGTGTGCGTGCAGTTATGTAATCACTAGACCCTTGCCCGTGCGCTTTCTCTTTGCATCGTGCTCTTTCCGGGATTTAATAGCTAATCGGGTACCCCCCTCGAGCGCAAAAAATTGCGTACACAAATAAAGATGCCAAAGGAAGCCATAGGTTTAGAGCTTAAACCCTAAGCCCTAAACCCGAAACCCCTAAACCCTAAACCCCTAAACCCTAAACCCTAGACCCCTAACCCCTACACCCCAAACCCTACACCCTAGACCCCTAACCCCTAAACCCCTAACCCCTACCTTTGAAGAAAGGTCTTCCTCCTCGCCTTGGACCCTAAATAAGCGAAGCTCTGGGCCCGTCGACTAAACTGTCAAACTTCTGCGCCCGCAGAACAAATTGAACGGTTTAGGGTTTACCTTAACCATGAAGCTACCTTCTTAGGGTTCCTGATTATCATTTCCTTATATATGTCCTTGAAATGGTAGGTTTTTCCGGGTTAAGGAGGGCTTCATGACAGTATTTTGGGATTCATGTTTGGATCTTCGGTTTTAGGAATCATCTTTCGGAGTCTTACTGAAAAAACCCTACGCACACTAGAGTAAAGTACACCCTTGAAGTTTAGGTTTAAAACCCTACTAAACCCCCGAACCGAACCCTAACCCCCCCCCAATACTAAACCCTAAACCCTAACCATACTAAACCCGCAACGGAGGAGCTCCCGATCGCCGCAGAACCCTTACGTCCAGCCCCATGAAATCCGAATGAAGACCCATAATATCGGGTCCTTAATAATCTCAAAGAAATCTAGGTACTGTTATGCGGGATACTTCCCCACATCATAGTAATTCCTGATATAGAAACCCTTCATTCTCCTATACAGGTGCTTTGGAGCCCTTGGGAATTAGAATAGGGTCTGGGGGCCCAGTATACTGTATTTATTAGAAGGAACCCGTTGGCAAGTATTGAGGCCCCTATGTTACAAGCCTTAAGATGTAGAGTTCACTGAGTCCACTGAATACAAAGAAACTGATGACCTCTTCACTCGGGCCTAAACCCTGAAATCGTCAAGGAATACTTGTAGTAATCCTTAAAGGAACATTTGCAATTAGAAACCCGGAAAGACTCCCTTATGGAGCCTTGTAATTATCCGTAAACTTACTAACCCAATAAGCCACAGAAACAAAAGGTTAAACTTTCCGATTCCTACTAAACTACAAGGACTACAAGAACCCAAAAGGTTTAAAGGTTGGGTATTGGGGATCTAAGTGTGGAACCCGCATAGTAAGCCCCAGCAGTAAATCTACTAAGTAACCCTAAACCCCTATAGTATTATAACCCTTATAGTAACCCTTATAGGACCCTTCAAAGGAACCCTTAAAGCAACCCCATTCCCCACTAAGACCCAGCCAGTCTACTAAGAACCCTAGACACCTATAGTATAACCCTTATAGTAACCCTTATAGGACCCTTCAAACCCTAAGCCCTAAACCGTCTACTAAGAACCAGACAATAGTAAGCGCCCCAATAATACACAAAGGGTCCAAGTATCATTATGGTATATACTTAGACCCCCCAAATGCCCTATAAGTATAGACCAAAATGACTATACTGAACCTAGAACCCTAGCAAAAATTATAACTTTAGCTGTCTCTTAGGGATTATAATAACCAAAATTAAAAAAAAACATTTCTAAGTACCCCTAAGATACTTGGACCCTTTGGGATGTATACCGGCCATCCCTCCGTTGCACCTCGGGGCAGGGAGCTACCGCTCGGCCATGCTCTGCCTGCAACGCTTCGGAAAACAAATGCCATAAGCCCTAGACCTTAAGGTTTTAGAATTTAGGGGTTTAGGGTTTAGAATGTAGGGGTTTAGGGTTTAGAATTTTAGGGGTTTAGGGTTTAGAATTTTGTGGTTTAGGGTTTAGAATGTAAGGGCTTAGGGTTTAGAATTTAAGGTTTTCTGCTTTTAGATTGGGGGTTCCGGTGTTTTCGGGTTGGCAGCCTGGAAGGAACCATCCTACCTCTCTACCCAGAGGCTCCATAGTAGTTCCTTTTTGGGATTACCTTATAGGATTCTATATATGAACCCTAAAAAGGAACTACTATGGAGCCTCTGGGTACGGCTAAGATGAGCCTTCTTCGAGGGATTCATGTGTCGGATGCTAGTTTAGGACTCTGAGGGTTCTCCGTTGCTGAGTTCCCTGGCCAACACGACGTGAACACCGCTGTGTATATTTGTACATGTATCCGTATATACCCATACGTATATGTATATGTATAATGTACAAATCAGAATAAATTATAAAGTCTGAGGTATGATGTATAATGTATATTGTACATGGTATATGGTATGTATGTATGTACGTGGGTAGGTATGTATGTACATGTATGTGGACACATGTACTAGAACATAGATGAATATAGTATGAAACATACAGTATCAAAACACGTTAAACCGATGACATTTTAATTATGTATGCGAGAACATACAACATGCAATATGCAGTATACCCAAAAAGTTAAAAGCTTAGCTGCTCAGCTAATATGATTGCGTGCTGAAGAAATCTTAACGGTACCTGGCTTGCTGTAGTCAGGGGAACGGTTGCGTCGCGTGTAGATGCGCCCAGGTTTAGACTCCTGCATCTTCTTTGATACGTGCTCGCCCAGACCCCCGGGAGGATCTATAGATCCCCTAATTTGGGGCCCTATGCTACTAAGGGTACTCTATAGGAACCTCCATTAAGGGATCTACTTTTTGGATCTTCCCGGGGTCTGGGCGAGCCAAGGCAGGCACGACGATCGCTCCACCCGGAGGGTATGTCGTACCCGTGAAATGATCCGCCCCACCACGGAGTCAGTTCAAAAGCCGCGAGGTTGGCAATGTTGAGCTCGTCGTACATAATGGCGGTGTCGAATACCCGAGCCAACACCTCATCTTCATGAATAGAACTGCTTCCCTCGGGGACTTGGGAGTTTCCGAAAAGAGGGGACCCTAACATAGCACCCTAAATACTAGGATCCCGATTATAAGGGCCCCAAATTTAAGGTACCCCAACTCACGGAAACTCCCATGAATAGACCTGCTTCCCTCGGGGATCAACCCAAGCAGGATGCTGGCGCATGCTGCTTTCGACGACACGGCTTACGACCGTTAGGGTTCAGAGTTTCGGGGTTGCGGGGCTTAGGGTTTAGGGTCTAGGTATGGGTTCAGGGCTTGAGGCTTAGGCGGTTTAGGGTTCTCTGTAAATTTGTTTGAAGCAGATACTCTTGTAGAGCTGAAGCACGTCATGTTATTTGGGTCTCCCCTTTCGTAAATCTTGACTTCGAA